CTCGCCCGATCGAGCGAGGCCGAGCCTCGCCGTCCGTCGCGACGGCGAGGTCGGCCTCGTCCGAGACGGCGAGGCTCGGCCTCGCCCGACTTCGCCGTGGGTCGCGACGGCGAGGCTCGGCCTCGCCGGATCCGGGCGAGGCCGAGCCTCGCCGTCTCGGGCGAGGCCGCCTCGCCCAGGCGGCGAGGGTCCAGCCCTCGCCCTCGCCGGCGAGGGTGACCCTTGCCTCCGCCGGCCGCCGGCGAGGTCCGTGATGCAAAGAAGAAAGTAGAAAAAAAAATTAAACAATTCAAAATATTATTAAAATATTATTTGAGAACAGAAATTTTGTGTAGTTACCAAACACATTTCTGTTCTTTTCTACTCTAGGAATAGAAATTTTGGACATTTATCAAACGCCTTTAAATACTCGAAATTGTTTCCTAGCACGTAATCAAAAAAATCATTTCGTTCGAAATATACTGCATGAGAATGGTATTATGCGCACCCTTACTTGCTATCCTTTTTTTTTTTTTTCCTGCTTAGTGGATGGTTCTTACTTGGCTAAAACACCTTGAAATTGTCACGTTTCCAGAGATGATGATCAAGGGCTCGTTGACATTGGATGATAATTGTTGGATGCGTACGAGGATAGTTAAAGAGAAGTCAGAGTTGATAATCACTTGCCAGAAGAACAGAGACAGTAATAGCGTTTGAATTTACTGGGTGTATCTCTATAATATTTCAAACTGTTGTCACTGTATTTCGAGGTTTATTCCAAGCTTGTTCCGAAAAAATGCTAAAATAATCTTAAGATGAGGTAGACGTGATCAGATACCGACAGACATTAATCGGCGTAGCAGTTAGAATAGGCCCGTCAATGTTAGCCAGAATACGAGAAAGGTGCATTGAACTCAACGTATACAGCCCACATCGGTTCAGACGGGACGTTCACATGTTGCACGATCAGAGATTTATTCCGCGCTTATTCCATAAATAAGCTCCTCATAGTTTTGCATATTTCCACGGCACAACTTTATAGGAACACAGATAGAGCATATGCTTTGAGAACGGAAGGTTTATCCGCTAGTGAGACCGCGAACACGTCCCCTAATATGATTACTTTTTTTAGACATCAATCATTAATTTATGTGTTAAGAGTAAACTAATCTTTATTCTTCTCAGCTTAGTTGTTGAGAAAATAAAAAACATTATCTTATCCTACATAATTAAAAAAAAAAAAGGCAATAAAAGGCGTGGGGGCATACACGTGGCCTCATCTGCTGCCGTCGTTTGATTAATTAATTTTCCTGGACATTTATTTTGGTCCGTCGGATTGGCTTGTTGGTTTCGAGCTCCCCTTTTTTTTAAGATGCAAATTGCTTGACAAGCCAATTAGGTCTTCACCTGTTCATGGGGGGATGATATCGATGATTCATGATTGATTTTATTTATTTATTTTCCTTAATAGATCTGTTTTCGTGTACCGACATGATTAGGATTTGATTCGAATTGATTTCCCAATTGCTCAGTTTTGCTCCGAGAACTTTCCGCTTTTTCTTTTTATATTAGCAAAAGTGGCACAAGACCTATGTACATAAAATTCGAGAAGAAACTTTCGAAAATTGGAAGAAGATAAGTCATTGCACCGCGCCAGAAATTTCTAGGAATTGGAGGTCGCCAACGGATTGCATGAGAGCTACTCTGGGTTGGGACAACCAAAGCCTGAGTTTAGCTAGTTCGTCAGACTTATAGGATGTTTCGTGAATCTCTAAATAGTCGAGCCTCTAAGTCCACGCTTGCGATTATCCAAAAAAGAAAAGAAAGAAGGTGAACATATGGTTGAATAAGGTCCGATGTATAAGATACAGGCATGCTAGCGAGGTGCACAAGCATAGCCGCAGGATTGACGAGTAAAAATCGAGGTAACGTTCGAGCCGAGTCAAGTTGATAGAGCCGTCAGAGCGCCAAACTTGAGTTCGAGCTTAAATTGACTTGAATCCCATACTCGTTGCTCGTACTATGACCGGATTAAGATTGACTATCGAATTTTTTAACTTGAGCTTGATTCAAATAAAAAGTTGAGATATTCAACTCGATTTTTCAAAACTCGAGCTCGAGTGTACGAGGCCTAAATATCTTTCTCTGCATATATATAAGCTCCGAGTTGTTTCGCAAATCCGACAAGCTAAGCATTGGCAAGCTTGATCTCAACAAGATAGTCGAGTAATCTTAGCTCGAGCTCGACTCGAAATCAAAAAAAGATAATATAGAGATTAGACATCTGCTATCACGAGGGCTATGGTTACATATGAATCAATTAGATCTCTCAAATGCGATCCGCAGCAAGCACATTAATTACCTGGCTTTCGGTTGACCCACCTTGACAGGAACCCGCATTAAATTTTGGGTCGAGACTCGCGTGCGTACCCAAAAAGGAAAACCTGTTCCCTTTTGCTTCCTGGAGTAGGTTCATCTGGTATCAGCACATAGCGTGATAGCATTCATTTTTTCAAGTGAGACTTTGAAATTAAATGCTAAGTGCTAGCCGACCTTTTGCTTTCCTAAACAATCTGTCTCGTATTGCTAATGGGGAAAACAATAATGGGTATTCCAAAAATTATTCGAAAATATTCAAATTCCAATTGGCGCCACGTGGATGGTGTAGTCGTTACCTGTCGATCCACTGGGCACTCAAGCGCAGATGAGTCGAGCCATATCGAAAACAAATTGAACTCATAAACGGATCATAGTTTCAGTAAATTTGATATTTTTTCATCATCTTACATCACATATTTTAGGAAAATATTGTTTTTCGCGAAGTAAACGGAACTTGATTTTAGCGGTGTTCAACAACATGCAAAACCATATGCTCACACGGTTTCCTTCCTTTTTTTCAACATTACCAAGACTAAGAGAGTATGGAAGCAAAATGCATTGAATCTAGACGCCTTCATGAGTATACATCGATTATAGACGCAAACATCATGAGTGCATGGTTAACTACGCACAAAACGAGAATAAGCAAACTCTATTACTGTCAACTTAATCAAATTCATAATTTTTTTAAACCTAAGTTGCTTACAATGCACATTTCGTTGCACGCTCGACATTAGCTAACGCTCGTTGCCAGGTCATCCTTTCGCGTCATTTCTGCAATAGAGATGTCAAATGGGTTAGTTGGATTGGATTCGAATGGGTCATTAATGGTTTCGATTCATATCCACCCATTTAACTTTATTACCAAATCCATCCTGGACCCAACCCAAACCCACTGACATAACCTACCCAAATGGAAAGACAATCTTATTGAACGAGAACGAGATGATTAGGAAAAGAGATTAAGATGGAAGGAAACTGGCGGACACCTAGAAGATTGAGCCTAGAAGAAGTGAGAGCTGCTGGAGTGATAAACTAGTAAGTGGACACGATAAACTAAGTTCATGATCGCTAAGTAATTTGGCCTTACCCACATCTAATTCGTGAGCATAAATTCGATGTTATCTTCTATAGAAGAAGCAAATAGTATTTCACACATCGTGTGTTAACCCATCCTATATTTGGTATTTCAATAAGAGAATGTTCGGCGACAGCACCCGGTCCGACCAACCATCAAAGGAGAAGAAACGTGGGTGGCCCAGAAGAGTCCTAAAAAATTCCGAATTTCGAGCCCCACCCATCCATCTCCTGCGCATGGAAAGATCATGTCCTAATTTTACTCGTTGCCAAAGGGTATAATCACAGTTGCCGAATTGAATCTCCCGAATTCCCGTGCAGAAAATCAACGACTACGATGGACCCGGTCCGGACAACTGCTTAACCCTTTCGGTGCCGCTAGTCCCTCCTTAGTGGAAGATGCGTGCGCATTGCCTTTTGGGCAGACCTTTCTAGCTTAGTGGGAGGCCACAGGAAGTAGTGATGTGGTCACTGCCTCTCCCGATGCAGACAACCAATCATGAGTGACGAGATCATTGCTGTCCTCTTGAAGAAAACTCTTGGAAAAGCCCTCCTCTCAAAGTCGCAATGAGACATCATATCCAAGTTTCAAATCAGGGAAACGCTGGTGTGGTGGGAATATTCGGTGGGTTTATATGATGGTATTGTCATGGGGAGTATTGACCCGCCGAAAGAGATTCAGAGAATGTCCATGTTACTGCTGGAGCAGATGGTCTATGAAACTCGACTGTTCAAAGGGTTGTGCAATCTGCACGTTTCTTGCACGCTTGTCTTGTCCCGGGTTTCAACGTGTGATTTCAATTGGTCCCGTCGCGGTTCAAAATTTGTCGAACGGTATACAAGAACGCTTGGGGAAAGTTTGGGGCCCATGCCAAAAGGCCCCCGGATGACCTCATTTTCCTTCGCCTTCCAAAGTGCAAGAGCTTTCGACCGAGGGAAATTGGCTCGAGACAAGACAGCATTGGAATTTGAAGATTCTTATGGTTCGTCCAATTCCCAAAAGCAAAGATTCCTTCTGGGACCGCAAACAACAGTACATTCCTGAAAGTTCATATGGGGTAACATAGACATTAGAGTGGACAAATGTCTTTGAAGATGAAATCCCTTCTTGTACCAGTTCTTCGTACGGACGGCTCAGAATCAGAACAGCCTGGTTTCTGAACCCAGTACAAGGAAGAAATTCCCATGTCCTGGGAACTGTGAAGTTGCACTGATTGTTATGTACAATACCACATCAAAGGACTCAGACTAAATATCATGGGCGACTCACCGCAAAAGTGATCTCACAGGAGTGATCGTGTTACATGTACGGAAGAGAATACACTCCGAAAATTCAAACAAATAAGATTATGCGAACAAATGCCTTAACCCACTCGTCAAGGTAAAGAGTTTGATCATCAAAGTAACGATTATATCATCTTACAAAAAGTCAGCACATTAAAAATGTCAAGTTTTCTTTGTTTAGTTGCTTCATAAGTACTCTAAAGACACCCTTAACAAGATCGTGTAAATATGCTGACCCCGAATAGAACATCGAACAAGATCAGCGCTAGTTGCAAAAGGAGGACAAAACAAAAACAAGTTCAGCATTAGAGTGCATACAATTTTCAGTACATACGCAACTAGTCATCAACTGGTGGTGGAAAGAGAGTGAAAAAGGGCACGCCGCTACCTGGAGTTTGCAATAAACAAGATCCAATATGTACGTTCAGTGTTCACTGAACAACAGAGGATAACTGAGAAACAATACCTATAATACAACAAGAAGATCCTGAGAGTCACTGTTCCATCTCTGCATCACTTTCAGCCACCTCCATCGCGACATCTTCGTCATCAACATCGTCATTGTCATCATCGTCATCACCGCTGTCCTCTCCTCCTAGCAGCCACTGTTCAAACTCATCGATGTCGTCATACTCACGCATGTATGAATCATCCAATCGGTTAGATGGGTCCGCCCCCAGCTCCTCCCCGTGACACGCCACATGCAAGAAAGGCCTACTCCGGGCCAAAGCATCTACCATATCCCTATTGACACTTCCCGTCAGTCCTAACCACCTCAACCTCGGGAAATAAGGTCGCTTCAACCACCTAAACGACAGTTGGGTAATGCCACCACAATTGTGCAGATCCAACAACCTCAGCCTACTCCCTTGCCACCCTTCTTCACGAGCCTGCATAGAGGCCAATGCCATTATCGAAGTGTCACCGATGAGGGGGCACTGTCTCAAGCGGAGTTCAAGAATTGGAAGGCGAGCTCTTGCTAATGACAAGATTCCGTCATCAGAAATGCTAGGGATGTTTGACAGGTCCAATTCTTGCAGCTCATACTTAGAGGAGCCCTCGAACAAAAGTGATATGCCTTTGTCTGTAAGTCTCTTGCAGCCTCTCAGGGACAGTGATGTGAGCGAAGTGATCACTCTCCATCTCAAGTACGACAACCCCATATCGGTAATATCAGAACCATCCAACTGCAAAATTTTCAACTTAGAAAGAGTTCCAATGGCTCGGAGCGCTTCATCTCCAAGACTTTTACAATCCCTGAGATCGAGAACTCTTAAATCCACATTTGACACCAAATTTTTAACACCAAGATTTGTCATAAGATTGCACCATCTCAAGCTAACATGGGTCAAGGAGAGGGAAGTCGCACGGATGTCATGAAACAACAGATTTGTTAATAAAGTGCCATGAGCAACCCTCAGCTTGTATAAGCTCGAGCATGAATGCAAGATCTCTCTGAAACCTGTATCAGTGACACGACAAAAGCCACCAAGATATATACTTTCCATGTTTGCACATCTATCGGCCATTAGTAGGATCCCAAGATCATTAACTCGTTTGAAGTAAGTAACAAGATACTCCTGGCTCCTGACTAGTGAAAGATGCCTCAGTTTCCCATTCTGATTAATCTGTTGAAGACCAGAGTTAGTGAGGTCAAATGTAAGTCTCGGTTCAATAATCGGTGCATCTCGAAGATCCAAATGGGTAAGGGACAGAAGACCCCTAAAAATAGTTCCGACCATAGCATCAGTGATATAGTCCACTGAAAGGCTTAACTTCTGAATTTTAGGAAGCACCGATGGTTGAATGTGTGTCTGCTCCAAATTAGGGTTCAGAAGCTCGGTGATCATCACTGACGAGATGTAGCCGATTTCAAGAGAAGTGAGTTTTGTCGAAGCTAATGCCCAGACTCGAGCAAAATTATGACGTATAAATATCGACACATCAAACATGAGGAATAGTGCCTGCAAGACAAGAAAAGGCATACTCATAAGTGACGCAACCCAACTAGCTGAAGACAGCAGTTTATACTATGAACCCATATGCTCATAATAGGTGACAAAATCAGCCAGATCTAGGGAGCAGCTTAAAAAAAGATACAGATATGGAGGGGTCATTATATGAAGATTTTTCACAGACACCATCATCCCAAAAGGGTAAATAAGAAGTAGAATCAGACACATCATTACTCTACCATAGTAATTGATCAATTTATGCAATATTTGCATTAAGGGTCTATTGATGATTCAAGAATATGAAGCTCACTTCTAACTGAGTGCAACCACTCAATAACTCCTCAAGATCGGAAACATGAAGTGCTCGCCCTCTATTCTCAGCAACAGAACCCAAGTAAAGAAACCTCCATGAAATGAACAGAACAGTGTTAACAAAAGCCAATCCTCCACAAGCTGCACATAACTAAATTAACCATAACCGACACCAGAAGCAGGCGCAAACAGAAATTAAAAGACAGATTGTCTGTACAAACTTTAGGTCCCCGCATTGCGACCCAATCTCGGAAAGCAGCTTCCCGCTGAAATCCCCGCAGTTGTGGAGATGAAGCTCATGCAAAGACGGCCTAGCCAACAACCTTATGGCCGAATCGTTGAGCCGATCGCAGTCCACCTTCAAGCTCCTCATCAGAGGATTCGGCGGCAACAGAGGCCGCAGCAATTCGATGGAAGGCGCGATCTCCTGAAACAGAAGCCACCAACCAACTAAAATCGACAAGTTCGACTTCGACCCAAAAAAGCAAAAGCAAAAAAAAAAAACAAATTTTTCACGAGCTCGATCCTGCTTTTGTCCCCCTGTTCTCTTCCCACAACCGCAAGTCCGAGACTTCCATTTCGTTCCTTAATTTCGTAACCATTATCAACATTGAAATCAAATGGGTTTGGTCAAGAACCCCGAAATCGAGCCCAGGCAACAAAGACACCGAAGAGAGAGAGAGAGAGAGTGTGCGTAAGGAACGTACGAGGAGGTGGATGCTGGGGATGAAGGAGAGGACGTGAGAAGCGCAGTGGCGGAAGGTCTTGCATGTGGACCCGGCGGAGCAGATGGACGACACGTCCAGCTTCATCATGATCGTCGCCAGCAGAGCCGACGGGAGCTGGTCCAGACCCACCATGCTGGCCTCCTTCTCCTCCTCCTCCTCCATCTCTCTCTCTCTCTCTCTCTGTTCGCTCCGATGAGCAAATGAGGTGGAGCTTCTTCTCCGATTTCGCTTCACAGCGTTCGGAAGAAGGAGATTGCTTGCGTGACGACACCGTTTTGAGAGGGGAAAATTACACAAACAGTCCCAGAACTTTGGCTCAATGCGCAATCTGGTCCCTGAACTTTTAATTTGTTCAATATAATCCCTGAACTTTAACCCAGTATTCAATATGGTCCCTAAACTTTCAATTTATTCAATGTGGTCCCTGAACTTTTGGTACATATTTAATATAGTCCCTGAACTTTATAAAAATGTTCAATGTAGTCCTTCCATTAATTCAAGTTCAGGGACTATATTATACATTTTCATATCGTTCAGGGACTAAATTGAATATTTACCAAAAGTTCAGGGACCAGGTTGAACAAATTGAAAGTTCAGGGACCACATTGAACACTAGGTTAAAGTTCAGGGATTACATTGAACAAATTAAAAGTTCAGGGACCAGATTGCGCATTGAGTCAAAGTTCAGGGACTGTTTGTGTAATTATCCCTTTTGAGAGAGCACCGTCCTCTGCATGGGGGAAGTCATCGGCCCAGGTCCAACCGCGGCCTGGTCCGATCCAATCATTTGTAAGCTTGGATTTTTTTTATTGGGATAAGTGCACTAAAAACTAGAGATAATCGGTTCCCGGTCCGGTTGGTCCTAGACTGGGAACCGAACCGGTCCGGTCCAATGAAATCGATCACTTCTTTTTTCTCACTACTTGATGCCATTTTTTCGTGTTGAATTAAGTGATATATATGTAATTATCCTCAAATTGAAAAGACTAATAAAAAAAACGTGCTTCACTTAGGATTTCGTTCGCATTTTACTAATTTTTTTAAAAAAATAAAAAATAAAAAAAGTATATGTAGTCATCGGTTCCTCTTTTAGGAACCATAAACCGAACCGACACACCAAATCGGCCGATCTGATCTGGGCGGATCTTGATTTGGGCAGTCCATTTTGCACACCTCTACTAAAACCCTAAATTTATCATGAAAGTGCAATTGAATCCTAAAATTTTTAAAAAGTGCCATCCGATCCTAAAACTTATCTTGAATGCGTAATTGAGTTATAAAACTTTCAAAAAGTGCAATCAGGTCTTAAAACTTATCACGAAAGTGTAGTCGAGTCCTGAAACTTTTAAAAAGTGCAATCAACGGAGGAACTTGATTTAACAAATTTGATAAATTTTATAACTTGATTGCACTTTTTGAAAATATTAAGATTCCATTACACTTTCGTAACAAGTTTTAAGAGACAATTGCACTTTCACGATAAGTTTTAGGACTTTCAAATTCACCGATCCATTTATTATATCTACACAGGTGATCGTGGGCTAAATTAAGAAGAAAGCTGTCGTTCGGGGGGCTGATTGCAAAAACCGTAGAAGTGCAGGGACCGGGGGCAAAAACGTAATTAACCCCTCGCAAGCGCACGTTTCTTTGTTTTTTTTTGGTCAGAACCTCGGAAGCGCACGTCGATCCACGTTTCACCCTGCAAGTGCAAATTCGCGAAGCTCCGAAGTCTCCAATCCACCTGTAGATTTTCCCGGCAGATTTTTCCCTCACTTTCTCTCGCATTTTCTCGCCGGTCCTGCTGCTCGATTTCGCCGGAAGCATCCATCCCAGAGCCTGCCTACGCGCCCCCCCCCCCCCCTCCCCCTATGGCCGAATGGAGCCAGATGCCGGAGGACCTCCTCGGGCTCATCGCGCGGCGCCTCGACGCGCAGTTCGACGTCCTCCGGTTCCGATCCGTCTGCTCCTCGTGGCGTTCCGCGGCGGCGCCGAGCCCCAGCCCCTCCCGGCGCGGCCGCTTCCCGATCCTCCCGAACGACGGGATCTCCGACGCCGCCTGGGGGTTCCACCTCTCCAAGCGCACCATCTTCCTCCTCGGGGTGCCCCGATCCCGATCCCGATCCCCCGACCAGACCGCCCCCGGCGGGTGGCTGCTCAAGGTCAAGGAGGACGTCCCCCGGAGGATGAACCTCCTGAACCCTCTCTCCAGGTGCCAATTCACTCCTCTCCCCGAGGATTTCCCGAGAGTTTTGGATCTGTTGAACCTGCAAGTGCTGGAGCTAGGGCACGAGTATGTGTTGCAGTACATGAGTTACCGCCCTGGCGGTAACGATGGTCATCTGTACATGGAGAAGGTTGTCTTTTTGTGTTTGGACAATGAAAATGACTTCGCGCTGCTCACGATTCACGTGTCTGGGAAATTGGCCATGTTTAAATCTGGGGAGAAGCGGTGGTCCATCATTCAGGACATGCCGTCCCCGTACGACGACGTGATACTGTTCAAGGGGGAGTTCTATGCCGTCGACGGCACCGGGAGGACCGTGGTTGTCGGGTTGGATCTGGGTGTGATCTTGATCGCGGAGTCGAACTTTGGTGGGGACAAGAAGTTCTTGGTGGAATCGGTGGGCGAGCTGCTGTTGGTCGATATGTATTTGAGCCTGGATGCGGAGAATGATCACGATGGCGTGGTCGCGGAATTGGCAGAGGATTTCGATTACCTTCTGAGGGAGAGGACGGTCCGGTTTAAGGTCTACAGGTTGGAGAGAGAAGAGAAGGCATGGAATGAGGTGAAAGATTTAGGGGATAGGGTGTTGTTTCTGGGAGATGATTGCACATTTTCCGCTTCGGCTGCGGATTTAAGGGCTTGTAAAGGGAATTGCATTTTTTTTGCGGATAATTGGGAAGTGGAAGGAGCTTCGAAGAGCACTGAGATTGGTGTCTATGATATGGATAGTGGCATTATTGGACCTTTAGAAGATTATGCAGGTTATTCAGAGCTGTTCTGGCCACCTCCGGATTGGATTGCTTCAAGGACCTCGGAAGTAAGCATTTGTTTTCTGGAATTCTTTCAATCATCTATTACTAATTCTCCAATCTTTGCATCATTGTTAGACTTTTCAGTTTGTCGGTCCTAGGAATCGGTGTCGGAGCACACTAGAGATTTCCTCTGTTCTGTCGCATATTCTGATGCTACATTCTATCATATCATGTTCTAAAAGTATGTCGAAGCTACTTCCTTGTGGGCATTGGTTATATTTTTGCCAGAAGGGAAACCAGGGACTATAGTCACTTCTGGAAGAAAATGTCGGAACTTATCATTGGAGTCCTCATGCTTTATCATAGTTGGTTTTATTCCTGATGAAGCATAGTTCATTTGTCATTTTTCCTTTCTATAAACTATTTAATACTCTCTTGGCGATACCTCAGGTTCAAAATCGATTGGAAGCAGTGGCAGTGTAATGCAGAGGTTGGTCTTCTTGGATATGGGGTGTCGCCGCAATCGAATCGTTCACGGCATTGTACATGAATAACGCAGTAAGAACGGACTAGAGAGGTTGATTCAGCTGACTGCATGGGACCAAGGCAACTACTATCGATGATTAAAGAAGGCAAGAAGGTAGTCTGGTTAGGCGACAATGCATCCTCTGAATAACTGATCATGCGATCAAATTCTCAGATCCACCAAAAGGACCTACATCTTTGCACAGGTCTTTGTTATATATTTGTCTGTTTATTAAGGATTTCGCCAGACGAAATTACTCTGCTCCCTAGACTCTGCGGCCTATGTTAATTGATGCAGAAGCAGAGGGAGCAGTTCGGTGTACATAGATTGCAAAGGCCATTATTGTTTGAGCTATAGAAAGTATGGTCTTGTGACTATTTTTAGCCCCTCTGTACTCAGCTATGGATGCTTTTCTTAACGTGCGTTATGCTTCTAAAAGGTCTTTCCTAAGCTTTAGAGGATGTCATTCGCTTGTAAAAACGCCATCACAAGGAAAAACTCTTGCCGGCGAGTTATTGCCTGAATCGTTTACACGGCTGTGACGCCTGTTGTACAGTCCAGAAGTTTATGAACTGGTATCTGTTCTATTTTGCCCCGTTTGACGACTGTGATCTTTACCCAAGGCAGAGTTCAAACCTATCAGTCAACTCAATAATTTTACAAACAGAAACAATAATCTCATGAAAACACAAACTTCAGTCAAAAAGGATTGTGGCTATATCTTATAAGGTTTTGCTTAACTTGAATTGCAAGGGCAGAACCCATACCCCCATCTAGATTCATACCACTGGAGGATTCAGACCACGTGAGGTCACGTAATGTGGACATGGAACTCATATGGCCAGTGCCCTTTTTGTTACTTTCGGCGCCTTCACGGAAATCTCCCTCTCTCTCAAGCACAAAGATAAATGGGCAACCAAAGAGAATTTCACAGATGCCTGGTTCACTGATCTTCATAGGCCAATAGAGTGATTTTCTCAAAACATGATAACTAGGAAACTCTAAAACAGTATCATCTCCTCTCTACTCATTTACTCCTAACACATGTACATGATTAAACCCCACCTAGCTTTCTCTACTTCTCCCATACGTATAGACCCATCCCAGGACCGCATGCTGCTAATATTTGCAGCACATGGACCCAAAACATCGTCAATCTCGTTCAGGTGCATCCCCAGAAGCCCGCCTCGCACTGATATTTCCAGCATACGACCACACCTTTTCGGATTCTGCCGCCACAGGTTTCTTATCATGTTTTTTGTGATTTTTCCTGTTCGTGGACGAGGGCGTCCTTCCCGGACTTCCGCCGATGGGGGAGGAACAGAAAGACGGGGTCGCAAAAGGAGAGCCGTAAGGCGTGTGCTTGATCGAGAAGGGACTGGGAGACATCCTCTTCTGAATGGGAAGACAACCTAGACCTCCCCGGCTAAAGAGGGGCATTGACTCTACTGCCGCACATCTCTTGGTGGTGTCATCTACATATATGACATCATCAATTCTCGCTATTATGTTGAAGGCCAGGCTCTCCATTACTCTTGAGTAGCTTTCGAGAATTGATTGTCCAACATCCTGCAAGATCCAAAGCCATTTCAAATATAAACAAGTTTTGAAAAGCTCAAAATATTGAATTCAATTCAAAAAATAAATTCATAATGAAAAATATTTCATTCATCTGTACAAGCCATCAAGTGGATGCATGAAGTGGCATACATGTATTAATTAAACTAACCTTTCCACCTCATGAATGCTTAATTATGAAAAATTGCAATCTGAAGCTGAGAAAGCGATGAGCTACTGTACCTTGTTATATTGGATCTTGTGCATATCCAATGCAGTCTGAGGAAGACCAGGAAAACGAAGCCTTAAGCTCTGCAGCAAGGTCTCTGCTCGTTCAGATAGAAAATGATTTTTCTCTCCATCAGCAACTAGCCCTTTAACCTTACCACCCCAGGACGACTGCCTAGATTTTGTGCGGTTTACGTGTTTCTTCTGGTCTTTCTGCTTCCAGACATGGACAGCTGCCTCAATCCTGTTAGCCACCTCCAAGGTGTGATGCTCAGATGATAAGTCGAGACAATCAAGCAGACATTCTGGGGAGAATTGCTCAGTGGTAATGTAGCGGTATATAATATGGCCCAGACAATCTTTTCCACTCTGCAAGGAGAGAAAGCTTATAGTCAAGCCAAACCACTCAGGGAAGACTTCAGCGTTACCAGTCACGCTCCTACCGCCTATTCTCTCTCTCTCTCTCTCTCTCTACACACTTAAATTCTGTAGCACAGTCACTCTCCTCACACCTAATTATTTAAGGGGATGGATTCAGATATATCAAAATAGTCACTTTAGATTATTTATGACATAACAGAACTTCTTCCGAGTAATTTGCATTTGACATGGCTATAAGATCTGGTTATGGCAACTCTATTTAAGAAAAAAAGCCCTCCCTCCCAAAGCATACGCTAAATAGATGCACAAGAAGAAACTGCATGTTTACTAGAGTATCTTATTCCATTAGTTACAATGTGCTTGATAGAAAAGTAATGAAAAATAACTAGTAAAAAATTTGTATAAACTTATTCAAGAAAAGATTTGACAGTAAAAGTGGTGGGGATTAACAAGCTAACTATAAAGAGATAATTTCATCATTGTCAACGAGACGAAACTAGTTGGGCCATCAGTCCCAAAAGTGGACAACAATGAGCAAAGATACAATCGTATCAAAATTATTAGAATGAAAGCCAGGTCAAGTAACTTTAATAGAAATTCTGTCATTCATATCATCTGAAATCTTTTCCTTCGGGGTTTTAGCAACATCGTAGTTGGCCGCCAACTTCAAAAAAAATCAGATGCTCTGAGGAACTAGAGCGAACATGAGATCCAATGAAGCAGACACTACATGGAGCAGAAAAACGCATTTTTATAGTAACAAAGAGGGAAAAACTGGTCAAGTAACCATTTTAGACATTCTGTCATTTGTATCATATGAGAATCTTTTCCTTTGGGTTTTTAGCAACATGGTAGTTGGACGCCAACTTCAATAAATCAGATGCTGGGGAAACTAGGGCAACCGTTATATCCAATGAAGCAGACGTATGTGAAGGAGCAGAAAAGTGTAAGAGAGGGCAGAAAGTCTTTCAAGAATTCGAGCAAAAATGTTAGCAACTCATTGCGGTACCACGGCCTTCCTGGACTTCCCACCATACTTCCAAGATTTGATTATTTATCGCCAACAAACAGCACAAAAGCTTTACCGCATGCATGTTAATAGACATGCCCTGCACTTGGACACGAATATTAGCTGATCAAATCAAGATCATTAGAATGAGCAGACACAATTTGGTCGGTCGAGTTTCACTAAAAGGTTATTGCTTCAATAGGTGATAGATATTTGTACCTTGGGCAAGGTTTCCAAGTACGCATTAGGAATCTCCATTTCAGCAAGGACACTGCTATTAATTGCCATAGCTGCCTTCAGTATCTGATTCGCACAGTCCCTGCACTGCTGCAACCTCTTCCTAGCTTCATCAGATAATCCATTAGATGGCACTTTTGGGCAAGGCAACCACCACTTCTCTTCCTGTCTAATGGACGGCCTACCACTGGACACACCTGAAGAATTCTTATCATGGTCATCACCATCATCCATCAATATCCCACGATCAACATACCAAAAGTCCGTCTCAGAGAACCCATCAAGCATGCTGGTTAACATTGCATCGAGCTTCTTAAGAGCAGGGAGATTTATATATAAATCAGAGCGAGGACGAGTTGCCATGACCTCATATGTGCCCCCACCCGGGAACTGTTGTATCGATGGCACAAGCTCCACGATCGAATCGCTCACACATAAGAGCCATTCCATTTCTCTGCGCCACATCGATTTCTTCTGAGGTGCCAAAGGCTCGAGCCTCCATAATTCACCAAAGACAGTAGCTGCAATCCAGTCCAACATAGCTTTTAGCAACAAGGGTTTCTTAACCGCATCGCACGCTAATCATCCCCACAAAAATTGAGCTACGACAGTAGAAAATTAAAAAGTATTCGCATCGAAACAGCGGGAAGTGTTACCAGAGAGATTGGTTATGGCGTTTGAGATAGCAAGAGCAGTGCACACTCCTTTACCGCCTCCAGACATGTCTTCTCCAAGAAGCAGCTTAGCAAATCTTTCCTTCATCATCTCAATTTCTGGAAGGCCGAAGAAAAAATGAATGAAAATTCCAAACAAGCAGCGCCCAGGAAAAATCTTACGCAAGGAGCAACGAAATTTCTGGCCAGGTCGCGGATGCTTACAAAACTTAGGAAGGAAAACATAAATTACGCAAACACCCCGTAACTCCAGAATACTTAGAGAAATGCGAAGAAGAAAAAAGAGGGAAAAAAACAGAGACTACTGCGAAAATACTCAAGGCCGTTCAGAAGCTGCAAACCTTTCCTCTATACCTTCTTCTCGTTTGCCATCACTGATCGAGAATATTAAGAGGCGCATCGTTGGAATTAGACGAGCAAACAAACCACAGATTAAGCACTGCAGGGCTAGCGCCCTTGGCCTAGCGACCAGCATTACTAAAAATACAAGCCGGGGAAAATTACCGGACAAATCGCCGTCCTTCCTCTCCTTCCTCTCGTCCCAGAGCACCACGTCCCTCCCGCCGATGACCGGCGCCATCACCGCCGCCGGGAAGCTGAAGTTCCAGGCGGCCGGGCGCGGGGACGAGGCCATCGAGCTGGACGCGGCCCCCTCCCCGTCGAAGCGGTGGCAGGAGAAGCTGCTGCAGCTCTCGGACTCGCTGATGTCGGCGCTCAGGCTGTAGCTCCCGCAGCGCTCCTCGCTCTGCCGGTCGCAGTCGTCGTCGGACGACGTGGCCGCCATTCGGTCCCCGGGAAGATCTGGCGGCGGCGGCGGCGGAGGAGGTGAGGCCTAGATCTCAGCCGCGCATTCGCCGCAGGAGAGACGCGCCGAGCAGGTAGGCGAGCAGAGCAGAACCGCGCAGAGAGAGAGAGAGAGAGAGAGAGAGGGAGGGAGCGAGGTCGCTCGCGTGGTAATGATGGTGGGGACTGTGGGAGTGAGTGATGGGAGGAGGAAAAGCAGATAAAGCTCTCGCACACCTTCCTCCCTCTCTCTCTCTATCTCTCGGCGAAAGTGTGAATGATTATTGTTAATGGCGATGCACTGTGCGAGGTTAGGTACTCCCTCTCTCTCTCCTGTCTCTCGCGCTGAAAGCGTACTGTAGAGAGAGAGAGTGTCCCACGCGCACGCGCGCGCTATCTCTCTCTAGAGATGCTTGTGCAAATATGGTCGTGATTGCTCGCTGCTATTAAGGCCGCGGGTTTTGGCTGGCGGAGACGGACGGCGACGGCGACGGCGACGGCGACGGTGACGGTGACGGTGACGGTGACGGAGGAACGTGGCGAGGGGGAAAAAGAAGGGGGCGACGGCGTCTGCAGAGATTCGTTTCCTTTTTTACGTTGGAGCAGAGGAGGGAGGGGGAGGGGCTACTGTTGCGCCCGACACGGCCCTTTTGCTTTGGGACCCGCTAAAACTACTGCTGCCCTCTCTCCCCCTCCTTTTTTCGTTTTATTTTGTTATTTTTATTTAATATTCTTTCTTAATTTTTCGCGCCAGCCAACCGTTTGTGATGTGTTTTTTTTTTTTTTTTGGGGGGTCGAATTTGTGATGTACTTGGAAAGGTTTGATTTTTCCCCATTTTTAATTGTGGGCGATGGGATTGGGATCGTGCTTGAGGAGAGATTATATTCCAGAAAAGGGGTAGGGAGAGAGAGTTTATGGTGAGACGCCGATACTAGATCTAATTTTACTCGGTGTGCGAGAATTCTTATTAAAAATTCATGACCGTAAAGTTTGGCGTCCATATCAATTTGCATCCTCGACTTTCCAAATAAATCTCTTGTATCTCGAGTTTTACTATTACAATTCTAATTACGTTCGGAATTCACTGCCCCCGTCACTTTCACTCCAGTATGATCGGTTCCAGGGCTCGGAACCCGAAACTGCTCGCTAAGGATCGGTTCCAAAAATTTGAAATCGGGAGTAGCCCATTTGTTCCGTTGACCCACCCAGGAAATGAACAATTGATCTAACCCGATTCCCAGATGGGTCAATGATACAAGTCGAATTCAATGAATTCATTCAGTGTTCCCCACGATGCCTGCACCATCGTGCCCCTCCTACCCTCGACGGGCTCTAGCTCTGTCGAGACCTCACACAGCAGAGCACCACACCATCTTCACCTCATTAACGAGGCCAGCCTTTTGCCATGACGACTTCACCCCAGCCGCGAGCTTTGCTGAGCCACGAAGCAACAGTCCCCGTGCCAAACTTCGCCCAAATCTCCATCAACAAAGCTGCTAGTTCTTCGCTACACTTGCTGTCTCCTATCGCCCGCACCACCACCTCTATATGACGCCGATTTAGCTGCGAATCTTGTAGGAGTTCATCAACGAAAACAACTATAATCGGAATATAGAGGCCTTAGAGCGGATCCATTGTGTATATTAAAATCGAAAAGGAATTTCGAAACGTATATTTTGCGGATCGAAGATAAATCGGCAATGATTGTGTCACGGATTCTGAGCAATAGCCCAAGTGTTGCGCCTACTAGCAGTGTCCGTACAACGCGAACGGAATTCTCCAACGATCCACGTGTTAGCGAAAGATCTTGAAGTTCCTTTTGTTGAGCGCTTTTGATTTCGTCACTGTATACAGTCGAGAAAAAGCGCAGGCAGTAAACGATTCTCTCATCTGTTTATACAGCACTCATTATCCATTGGAATTAAAAGAAGGGGCCTAAGTGATTTGGCCATACCGTCCACCTTTAATCTGTAGACGTTTAATCGTTGTCATGCTTAGCGATGCACGAGCCAGCGTAAAAGATAAGTTGAATAGGAGAATAAATTAAAATTTACTTCTTATTTTAATAGATCATTGCCACGTAAAATATTAACTAGCCGGTTGACTTTGTGTGCGATCCCGTAACGTCACTAAAACATTGGGATTAGCAAACGTTAGCGGTGTCTTCCAAAGCCTTTTGGCGAGTCGCTAAGCGGTCTGCTAAGCGAGACATTGTATGACTACCTAACTGAATGACACAACCTAATCCTAATTAATATTGCTTTGATTGATTCTTAGCGAAATGTAATTCTAACAAATCTATGATTTGCTTCTCCTCCCGTTGGTCCTTGTTTGCTACCGATTTTTCCTTCACGGTTCCTAGAGTTGCTGTCATGTTTCTCTAATGACTGACGGCAAGAGTGACAGAGGGAGTGACGAAGCCGGAGGCGATGGAGAGCACGAATGAGAGAGGGACTACCAAGAGTGAGAGCGAGAGAGGGAGGTGAGGCTCCAAGAAGAATGAGTCGAGAGATGGAGAGAGACAAAGAAGAAAATAGGATTTTGATATGAAATCATAAAAAAATTTTAAAAAAATTATACATATGTACCGGTCCGAGTGGGCGGTTCTTACAATGTGAACAGGAACCTAAATTGTGTAACCCGGTTCCATCCATATGGAAACCGTCTGTTACGGACCGATCCGGGCGATTCCTAGTTCTTTTGCCCACCCCTACTTTCACCGCCTAATGAAAACCCCAAAAATAATCTCTCATCTGCTCATTATCTTGCCCAACCCTCACTTTGCCTGGGATGTCTGCGTTCTCTGCCATCGTCGTCGTGCATTGCCATCTCCAACTGTATCTAGTGAGCGCCAACAAATACGCGTGTCGGTGCTCGGTGATAGAAACAGAACCACCACCTCCCTGCCCCCACTCTATTCGCCATCAAGCTCAGCGGCTTCGAGATCTCGACCAAGTTAGATGACCTCAAGCTTCTTCGCAGAGTCGAGCTTGAGCCTCGGATTTGAGGGTTGTAGCTCCATCGCAATGTGGAGTACAAATTCAAGCTCAAGCTGCGAGAATGTTGAGAGGCAATTGACTTCGGCCGCGACGGGGGCAGCGACATGGATCAAAGGCGATGGGATCTAGTGTTGCCATTAGCCAGAGAGAGGTAAGATGAGAGTAGTCAGGGTTTGGGATTTGTCAAGGGTATTTTAGTCTTTTTAATATGGGTGTTTTGTCTCGAGATGCAAATCGTACGTTTCAAAGACCAATGATGGAAAACTTTAACCGACATAGGTAACGCCCAAGTATGATGTGGATAAAATTTAGTTAATATGGATGTCTGCATTGACAATTTTTATCCGCGTCCATAGTGACGTTGTCTTATGGTTAAGTCAAATCGGATTTGATGTCGGAGGGACTTGGTAAGTAAAATTGTGAAAGTAAAATGACGTGATTAAAGAAAGCGTCGAAATACATGGACAAAAAATAATAATTTTAAAATCGTTTTTAATTTTACGAATCATCACAATGCTGCATTGGCTGCTTTATAATAAGTTTAGAGTTTTTTAGAAAAAAAAGTCTGAAGGATATGAGAGGAATTCAACGGGGTAGTTCCAAAAAAGCACAAAATTTAACTTGAATGGCAATTTGGGCCCGACTTTTTTTTTGTCTCAATAAAAAGTATCAATTTTTACTCGAGCCCAAATATGGCCCCATGATATGAAAGTTGGTGATTTTTTACGAGACAAAAAAAATTCGAGTCATAATTATTACTCAAAATAAAATTGATGATTTTTTTTTAATTAACCCAGAATTCAATAATCCCATAACCTTTTTGTCCTAAAGCTATCGGATCACGAACTTGTAATGCATGCGAATGATCCTATGCGATCCACAAAAAGCCAATCAAACTCCGACCTGCATCCGCATAGACGAGCCGTAGGACCACCGCAAAGACACCTCGGTAGGTCGGCTACGGCCGGTCGAGTACGGCGGTGCTGCGCCATGCGTCCGGGGATGCGTGCAAAAAAGAGGCGTCCGAGAAGCCCAGGCCCCAGAAAACGAAAGCAGAGCACAAAACAGCAACCCGCCGTCACGAAACCGTTCGCCTCACGCAAGAATCTATGACACCCGCGACAGTACTTAAGACCACACATCATCGTCGTCATCATCATCATTATTTTCGTCGATCCGGAGAATATTATCGCCTTTTGTCGCAGAGCGAGTTTGGCCTCGTGACCCAGGCCCAATCCCGACCGTCCACCGGACAGGGTGGGGACCACGTAGATTTTACACGGCGCGATTGGGGGGTTCGATGGGTCGCGCTGGAGTTGACCGTTCCGGAAGGGAGAAAGTTTGACCCCGCTTGAGAATTGGTGCGTGATTAGATGCGATTAATCAGTTCGAGACTTCGAACGGCGTTTGCGGGATTCTGATTATTAATTTTTGTTTTCCTTTTTTCTCTGGGTGGGAATTAGGGAATATTAATGGGGGGTTTTGCTTTTTTGGTTATGTTGATTCACGTGCACTAATCAATTTCCCACATTTATCGCAAATTTGACGTGTCAATTTCTATAGTCCAATACATAATGTAGGCCGTGAACTTTTAATTTATTTAGTGCGATCCTTAAATTTTTGATACATGTTTAATTTAGTCCCTAAATTATATGAAAATGTTTAATGTAGTCTTTCATTAATTCAAGTTTAGGGAATATATTGAACATTTTCGTATAGTTCATAGACTATATTCAATGTGTATTAAAAGTCCAATGACAGCATTGAACAAACTAAAAGTTTAGGGACCACATTGCACATCGAGTTAAAGTTGAGGGATGATATTGAACAAATTAAAAGTTCGTGGACGATATTGCATATTGAGCCAAAATTCAATACAAACGACCACATCCCGAAAGACGTACTATTTTGTTCTTAACAATGCGCCGAAGCGCGCTTGAATTTCATTCTTGTTATATATGTAATTCGAATATGTTGGTGTGTATGGTGAAGACGGCTGTTATGTATTGTTCTGATGATGTGCGTTATGTTTTGTATTGGTGGTTGAATGATATCTATGATATATCAATATGCTTCTTCGAGGTGTTGATTGTCTGATTTATAAATTAAATTCATCCATGATTATATATAAAAGGATGGGCCACGAAAGTACAATAATGAGTAGATAGGAATTGATTTTCGAGAAAAACTTGCGTATAAGCAAACACAGATCAAACACAGAATCGTACATGGCAAGACTTTCTATGCTAGCAATGAGTGATTAATGAACTAGAGCTACAAAATCAAGTTATTATTTAAATAATAAACCTTTAATTGTTGAGTGTCACAATGACCAACTCCTGCGATCCTAGAATCTTGTCAAGAGTTGCATATTATCCGTGGCATTAAGCCTCGACAACAATTCATCGACCTTCCTCCAGTCATCTTAGAACCGAATCACGCATCTGTTGAAGCAATTCTTGCTATGATGTGCATCGCTTGTAACTTTCTAAATCCATTCTACGAGAATCTATTAGAGTGTGATTCATACTCTCCATCGCTGAAAAGCATGGGGTCTTGCTCTCTAGTGAGAGGGGGTCCGAGGGCCGCCCCAGCGGGATTGTAAGGAGTAGCGCCTCGCAATGCCAGCAGGCTTTTATAATTTGGATATGTATTTTATTAGTAGTTAAGACTTAGGCCCATTAATATTTACTGAGTGTATATAATCTATTTTTCTATGTAATCGAGAGTTATAACTGAGATGCGAGATATGTTAATTATAACCGGATGTACCCATATTTTGAGGATGAACAAAGGATAAATTATGTATCTTGATTTCTCTTTCTCGACTTACTCTCTATTTTGTTATGCCCATGCGCATAATCTTAGCAAGATCAATCCTCAAGAAAGAGCAATCGAGATGTTGGTTTCTGGGAGCGGATCATGTACTTATCAACTAGTCTACAAAACCTATCTTGCTTCACGTGGAATTCGAGGGCGTTATAAACCCTATTCCCAAGTCAAAGGCTAGCCTTTTCAAGAGCTCGTCTCATAATATCGAGGAGGTCACGTCCATCTCCTCGCCCTCCCGTCACGACAAGGCAAAATTATCGAAACAGAAGGCCCACTCGATCGAGATGGAGACGGTTTTTACCTCCTCCCTCCTCGCCCGACCCATCATCATGAAACGAAAGAAAAAGAGCAACGATGTACAGGAAAGGAGGACCACAAATGAATGGAGTGCCCATGGGATTGTCCGGAAAGTACTCGGTGGTTGGGGTGGGACTGGCAGGAAGATTCATTGCTTGGCGTGGCGGGGCCTCTCCCTCTCCCTGTGTGTGTGTGTGTGTCTACTCATAAAGCGGCTTGACAGGACCTAAAACAAAGCAAAAGACCAAAAGAAGAAGAGGGGACTACTGCTCCTGCCTTGCTTCCACACACTGTTTCTTTTGCTGTTTCCTCTGTTTTTCCCCTTTCTCTCCAGGGTCGAGTCAACGTTGTTGTCCCCCCCCCTCGCCTTCCTTCCAACCACTGCCAATGCCATCCCCTCCTCCATAAGTAATCTGTGTTTAGTTCATATCTCTCTACCAAGGCTGATCATGCGATCATCTCGAGCTCGTGGTTTGATCCAGAATCACAGCAATCATTGGTGGCTTCCGTACCTAATCCCTGGGCTCAAATACATCTCCCGCGTGCTAACTTTGCGCTGTTCGTGCATTCGCGGCTCTTTCGAATGGTATTTGTGGTGTTCGCTGGGTCGGGAGTCACAACTTGTTTAATACGTAATGGGTTTCGGTGAGACTCTGTTTGCCAAAGCTCTTGGCCCTCGAGGAAATATGTAATTTGCCGATTAAAACTACTCTCGAAGGCGTGCTTTTGGTGCATTCGCAAAAACCTTGCTATGCCTCTATTCGGCACTTGCGATAAACTTTATCTACGGAGCAATTTTTGCTCTCTCGACGTTCCACCGACGCGCATTATGATAAATGAAGATTGACCCTAGTGATGGATGGATTGTATCGACTCAGACGAGACCCGTCGTACACAGGAATTATGGTCATTGATTTTGGTATTGATTGTCGTTCTTGTTTTGTCACAACGGACGCTCGGGTGCTTCCCCAGATGATACCCCACATCAACATTTTGGGCTGCCGGTTTGATCAAACAATTTGGAATCACCAATGGAGAGACAGGAAGCTAGAAAAGTAAGGATGAGATGTCTCAGACAAGGAATTGCTTTTGTTGGGGGCAGAAAAGGACGAGGAAATGTTTTATCTTTATGTCATTTATTTTGTAAAGAGATAATTATAAAAAAGTGCTAAACCTGTAGCAGTTGTTCCAATTCGGAAAAAGCACCAAAAGTCCTAAACCTATTACATTGATACCAATTTGATCATAAACCTTTCAATTGGACCAATTTAGTTATAAATTTTGTTTATATTGTTTCATCTAGTTAATTTAGGCTAGAAATCGCTAATATAAATGCCGCCCAAGAGCGGCCAGGCAAGGCCGACCCTCGCTTGTGGCCGGTGAGAGGCCACCAGCAAAAACAAAAAGGGAGAGGAAAAAAAAGGAGAAATATAATGTTCACGCTGGCGCCAATTGTGTCGCATAGGATGAATGTCATCTATGTCGACGATTTTCGACCTAAATTGACTGGATTGACTAAATTGGTACCAATGTGAAAAATGTTTAAAATTAAATCGATCCAATTGAAAAATATATGACTAAATTGGCACCAATGTAATAAGTTTATGACTTTTTTGGTACTTTTCCATGCCAATGAGTCTTAAGCCGTTTAATTTGGCCAATTTAATCATAAATTTTTTGACAATTTGCCAATGTAGTCCATCCAATCAATTTTGGTCTGAAATCGCTGACGCGGACACCGGTTGTCCTGCATGCCATGACTAGCACTGACTTGGACAATTTTTTGTAATTTTTTTTATATATATTATCTCTAACTTTTTTCCTTTCTTTCCTTTCTTTTTATTTTTTAAATGAGGCGTCAAGGGGCTATAAGCCTTCGCCATGGCCGGCAAGGGCGTCCCGCCCCTCGCCTGTGGCTGGTGACCTCCGCTGGCCACTGCTGAGGCTGCGGACCGGCAGAGGGAAATAAGAGAAGAAGAAAAAAGAAAAAGAGGAAAAAAAGAAAATAATCCAAACAAATTAAAAATTTATCAACGCCAAAGATTCTCTGTCAAAATTGGTCCAAATAGTCAAAATGTTCACGACTAAATTGGCCATATAAAAAGATTTAAAACTCAATTGGCATAAGTGTGTTATAGGCTTATGAATTTTTTGGTAATTTTTCCGTTTTGTAGGCGGTGCACCGAGGGGAAAAAAAAAAAATAAAATAAAACGCGCACACTCACGATACCCGATCCGGCCCCGAACGATAGCATGGGCCTCTCGGCCTTATGCAGATTCACTTCTTCAGGCCCAAGAATCGAACGTCGGTGATCGATATGATCGTTATCCCGATGGGGGCAATTCGGCGTCAGGTCGGACTTGGATCGTCACTGGGGATCGAAACGCGAATACAGTTCTCCGTCTCTGGAAACTTCACTTCAAATTCAATCCGTCCGAAAAACCCTCGATCCTCCCCCGACGACCTGAAGCGCCCCCGGGGAAATCTCCGATCCGAACCCCGATCGCCGCCGCCACCGCATCGGTCGACGATCCACCCCCCCCCCGCCCAGCAGACATGCCGAAGAAGATGGGCGTCAACAGCAAGGCCGAGGAGGCCAGGGCTCGCAAGTCGGCCGAAGAGACCGAGCGCAAGGCGCAGGAGGCCCGCGAGAAGGAGGAGCGGTACTGGCGCGACGCCGAGGGCCCCAAGTCCCGCTCCTCCAAGAAGCGCGAGGAGGAGGCCGAGAAGCGCGCCGAGGCGCTGGCCCGCAAGGCCGAGGCGCGCCGGCTGGCCGAGCAGGAGGAGAAGGACCTGGAGAAGGCGATGCGGAAGCCGGACAAGAAGGCCACCCGCGTGTCCGTCCCCGTGCCCAAGGTGACGGAGGCGGAGCTGCAGCGCAGGCGGGAGGAGGAGCAGGCGGAGGTGGCGAGGAAGGCGGAGGAGGGGAAGCGAAGGCAGAGCAGGACCGCGGCGGAGGAGGAGTACGAGAGGATGGTGCTCGTGAGCAATACGAATCGGGACGATTCGATCATCGAAGCGAGTACGGTGGAGGATGCGATAGCGCAGATGGCGGTTGCCGATAGCTTGCCTGTGGATAGGCATCCGGAGAGGAGGCTCAAGGCTTCTTTCAAGGTGAGGTTATTGGGATCGAGTCGGTCGTTGTGTCTGAATGCTGTTCGAAATAAGCGATTCTCATTTAGTTGGCATGGATCATGTTACCGACGATCGTCGTAGTTGTGTTTTAGAGGCAGTCGACAAGACAACAACATTTGAGCGTTATCTCACTGTATGGACTGTGTTTCATGCATCCTGATATATCTGAACAAGCTTTGTGACTCGGGATCGGGAAAACTAATTTGGTTTGGCTCTGATGGTTTTCTCTGTTTTCCAAAAATCTTCTTGGAATTTCTTTCGCCGATAGTCGTGCCCCCCTGCGCCCTTAGTTTATGGGAAGCCAGTTGTTGTAGAGATTTGTTGCAAGGAGGCTTAAGGATGTAATGTTCGGAAGCTGGAAGTGAGGGATTTGACCTGAGATGTGAGAATAGGGAGGGCGTCGTCCATAGAGATTGCAAATGTCCTTTCGCTCGGGTGTCTGCTCGGGCATTGACCATTGTAGAAGTGCCAAAGCAAGGTGTTTTTGAGACTCTATGAATTTGGATTACGATTACTGGTTAGTCTACCAAGCTCACAGCGTTTACGTGTTAAGAAAGTTGTACAATCCTCTTCACAATGGCGTGAATTGAAGCTTTGTCTTCCCCTCTCTTCCTTTTGGTTTTGTATGTGTTATTGAAGATATTTCTGTAGTTTGAATCATACAATGCTGTGAAGTTCTGAAGTACCTTTTGCAATGCTGTATGGTGATATTTGCTGGAACACTATTAGAGAGTTTGCATGTCCCGTTAGCAATGATATATTTTCCGACGTTCTCTGAGATGGTTAATGGTTTTCCACTGAACTGTTATCATTGCTTTATACGAAAAGTGCTACTTTTTTTATAAAGAATGGCGAAACTAGAGCATAATCCTTCTTTCGTACTTAAATCCCTTGACCTAATCTTTTTCTCTCAAGACATTTGATCCTTTAAAATAGAGTATGGTGCTGCAAACTTGTTGCTGGTTGTGATCTAGCCTGTGATTAGCTTTCCTTAATATAAGTAACTGATTGGCTGAATATCAATCATGGTAATGAGTATATGATATATCTCAATTCTTTTGTGTGCTTGGAGTCCTTTGGGGAATATCAATTGACCGATCATCATTACAGGCAGAGAATCTTTGATTAACGTGACCTTTTTATGGTTGGGTGATTACTGATATTTATGCTACTTGTAGGCTTTTGAAGAAGCTGAGCTCCCGAAACTGAAGGAAGAGAAACCGGGTCTAACTCACAATCAATACAAAGACATGATATGGAAGCTCTGGAAGAAATCTCCTGATAATCCTCTTAATCAGGTCAGTTCATGGTTCTCCTGCAACACACGATGTATTTATTCATTTTTTAATTGAGGTGTGATTACCTATTTTACACGCTTTGTATATTATAGGAATACAGTTAAAAGTACTGTTGGCCAGTTGATCTCTGACATGAGTCATATTACAACTCCTTAACTTTCAGAATTCCAACATTACAGTACATGAACTTACATATTATGATGATGTAAGGATAGACATTCTCAGAGTTCCCCACCCCCCAAAGAGTTATCCTCATTATTCTTCAGTAACAATAATATTGCAAGAGTAAATTGAAATTTGAAGTGGGAATTCAAGGTGGAGTTTCACAAGACATTTTAAGGAACAAAATAAGATTCACATATTCTGATTTTGACGTTGAAGGCTTTCATGTTTCTCGAAGAATGATCGCTTTATGGTCCAACAGGTCGACCATTAAGGTTGGTTGGCGGATTGACATGGTGTCGACGAGATTGCGCTGAAATCAACTAGTCGAATGTTTAATTTGGTTTTTATATAAGAAGATGGTTGACATATGACTTTCTATGTGCAGATTGCTGAGTGATTGCCGCTTATATTCAGCTTTTGATAGTATTGGGTTCTTATAAACCTTATTGCTATCAACTGTTGCATCCTGATGTATAATGGGGCATTGAGTGGATGATTTCGTTCACGGTTCTCCAATCCCCAAGGAGGGGCAGAGTTGTATCTAAAACAATGTCCATTCTCTATCCTCCATGTGCTCGTTATTCCCGGCATCTCGACTTGGTTTGGTATTCTGCATGCTGTGTTTCTTCCTTTTTGCCTCCCTGGCCTGTAAACAAGTGAATATTGTATATGCAAGAGATATCACTCTGGTTAAATTGCGAGTTGGTTACCCTCAGTTTCGTCGGAACAAATGGCAAATGATATTTATTGTGATAGTCATTGCTGTGTAGTGTACTGGGAATACTTCCACCTTGTTTCCTGTCATCCTAAAATCTATTTTTGGTGCTGTGTCTCTTTGCCAAATACCGAGTTTCAGACACATCGCGATAGTTTTGTCTTTTACATCTATATTGCTTACAGAGCGATGGGAAAAAAGTAAAAAATGAATGAAATGCACTTTTGTCAGGAGCACCAAAGTTTTACTGTGAGCATTTTTTCTTGTTTTTGCGAGTCCAGTGGTCTTTGCAACTCTGCAGCATTCCTTGCTGAAGTTGGCCGTGGAATTTGACCCTGTGAACCATGATCTGGGGAGGGCGTAAAAAATCTATCCGGATCGACCGATTGACTGTGTTACAGAAGTTTTTAAATGTAATTTCATTGCTCACGAGCCAACACCGATTCTTCTTTAGCTCAGCATTGAGCTGGTGATAGTCACGTGTTTCTGATTTCATCCTCATCCATAAACTGAACAAGCAGGTTTGGTGAATGGAAGGGTTTCTCTGTCGTTTCTTATTATGGTTTTGGACCAAACGAAGCAAACGAGGTGGGGATGATGATGCCTGATCGGGCGTAACCATTTCTCCATCACAAGCGATCGCTGTTCTTTGTTAAGGTTTTGGCACAGTAAAAATACTTTTCCCGGTGAAGCAATGTACAAAATTCGTAAGCTTGATAAACAGTTTGTGCCTGTTATATGCACAAACGCGAAACGGGGGATAAAACTATAGTGATGAATCTTCATAACAGTGGATGAATATGGGATGAATATGGGCAAGAAGTCTTGGAGAGTCCATGAAGATTGCATCGGTGGCAATCAACAAGCACTAGCCAACTGAGAAAAGTTCATCGGAGTGACATATCTCGGCCCGCCGGTGTATAGAGTCACAGCCGCCAACTTTGAAGCGGTGTGTGTTGCGTGGTATAAATCCCAGAACAGATATTCGTGGCGCTTCAAGCAAAGACGTGCTTTCGGGTCGCATATTCCTTCAGCATTTAATGTTCCTGATCCACAGCATGCACTTTTTACATCCTCGAAGTCTGCAAAATCCAAAGAAAGGAAGATCAGCCTGTGACATCTCTTTTAAAATAATAGAATGACAGGTATAAGTCTCACTCGAAGGTCGATATTCTAAATATAATTCGATCCAATAACCAGCTGAGACAATGCTATTATTCCCGAAAAATATGCACAAAGAGTGGGTAGATTTCATTCCACCGTACTTCAGTAAATGTTTCTTTAGTTTCATTGCTTCGATTTGTAATTTCTAGCGTAACAAAAGAGGGAAAAGAAAGGTAACAATCATTGAAGCAAGATTGTCAGAGTGAGTAACATACATGGAAGAGGGTTCTCGATAACATCCATAGCCATGTCGTATGCATTCCCGAGTGAGTATTTCATGCTCTCATACTCTGAACTGAGTTTCTTCAACACGGCTCCGAGTTCCGAATGGAAAGCTAGTGCGAGTTCATTTAGGACCTCCAAACACTCCCCTGTACCACTGAGAACCCTCTGAGATGGACAACATCCTATAGGAGGCACGCTTATAATGCCAAACTTCGTCGCTCCGAGACCCAATAGATTCTGCCACATCAACAGGAGATATGACTAATGAGTGCGGCGTTGCGATATAGGCAATGTTCTTTATAAGGTTTTCAAGTTTGCACACGACATGCTTTTGTTTCAAAGTTGCCAAGACCAAAAGAGAGGGATATGAGCGTTCCAACGGATACAATTTTAGAAGAACTTAGGAAAGGAATGACTAAATAATTTTAGGAGAACTCAGAAGAACCAACATATTTAAACGAGTCCTCGAGCAAGTAGAATTTGAAAAGGATTGCCACCTTCAAGTGATTTTCATACGATGATCCTAAAGTAGCAATAAAGTCTTGCTTGGGTACTGTACTGTTCGAGTGATAGTAAAGCAAAATGTCGTTGCTGCCAATGCTGATGAAGAAGAGAGACTTCGCAAGAAAATTCCTGGTCTCAGTAGGACCCATAACGGCAGTGAGAGTATCACGAACTGTGGAGAACTGCTTTATCTGTTCTCCTAACGTTATCACGTTCCGTATCTTTTCATTCGAGGCACCAGTTACCTGGGGAAAATATTCAACAGATATATGAGGCAGAGTGGAGAAACAAGAACAGAAATGGTGGAAGGAGGATGAAAAACGGGCCTTACCCCCGTTGTGTCGAGAAGTCCTGAACCTCCTGAGGCGAAGTTTATGCCATTTAAACTGTGCCGCTTCAGGGCGTTTGTGCTATTAAGGGAGAGGAAGGGCGGTGGACTCCTCATGTGCCCCAGTAGCTTCGCTGTTAAATGGAAAACCATCAGAAATTATGACTGAGAATTTACATGATACAATGCTGACATAAATTCACTAAGATGACCATAAGCTGTTGGTGTTAGGGATCAGTGTAGCTTATGTTGTTCATTCAGACATGGTAACGTAGAAAATGAAGCCCTTCTTAGTAGGGACTGGGAAGAGAGAGATTTGATTTATCATAATGTACCGAGGAAATCGGCGCTGTTGAGGCCATTGGAGAACCTTCCGGTAGCTCTTGAATGTGGGAAGTCAATTCCATTGTGAGGGAAGTCAGCTCTTGCCTTACTGCCGGGCAAGAAATTGTTAGTGCCGACATCAGCAGTCGAGTCGCCTAACACATATACTGCAGGCTTCTCTTCACTGGCCGAGCCGCACTCCAGAGTTAGAAACATGGCGAAGAGTAATAGCACTGCCGAACCACCTTTCTTTGCCATGATCAGCTCAACAAATCTTGATTCCAATTTTTTTGTTTAAATTTCTAATCAAGAATGTACTACAAGTACTAAAATAAATAAAGAACCATGCGGAACTTAAAGATCTTCAACAATTTATCAGCAAGTTGTCAGCAAGGGACTTGGGGAATGGTACAAGAAATTGCCGGCAAGGCGGTTGCTCTCGGCAATGGGCAAATCTTCTAAGCACAACGCGTCTCATTTGGTGGATTCACCCAAATGTTTGGTTAGTGCCGGATCGAATGTAAACAAAGTCTGTCAGTCAATGACCTACTCGCTCGTCTCTTACGAATTGGTTTTACAGAGAAAGACGAGAAGCTCAATGACAAGGAACGAATACTTAACGGAAAAATGTGTTAGTAGATGATTATATAAATAATTTTGTCTTTTTCATTAATTAACAAAGGGCCTTATTTGTCTTTGGAGTTTGAGAGTCAGCTATGTCTCAGCGAGTCTCAGTCAATACTGCATATTTTTAAGTCTGGAGTTCTGTTGCATAGTCGGTGGATACGACCATTGAGTTTCAAAGAGTCCAGCCACCCCAATTAGGAACTAATCATTTCTCCAGAGAATATACGCAGCATTTGTCAAGCAAGTATTCTTCACGAAGAAAAATCCAGATATAGCAGATCAAAGGACACTATTTAACATTTCTGATTTCTCAGCATAACCGAAAATAAATTTAAGGCCTCAGGCAGTTCCGTGATCAGGCTATCGAGTATCAAGAATGGCTTCTTCAGCCGTGCTAGTTTTCAACAATTAACAAACATATCAATCTAATGCACACAAATCTTTAGGTCGCTGACAGTCCGTGAATAGTAGAGTGACGAAAAGATGATTTCACTATTGAAACTGAAAGAGTTACACACTTGTCTATTTTATTGGTTAAGCAACGGGAATTAATCGTAGAGAGCTTGTGAAACAGATTCAGTTGTTTTGCATACTTCTAATGAGTACATATTCTTCATCTTGTGCAGCATCATGTGCATAGAGGCCTTGTGCTTTCGCAGCGACTCTACCACAGAGAAGAGCATTCTTTGGAATCGGGTAGTCGTCCATCACGGACTTGGACGGTGTGTAGACTCGCAAATGGAATTGTTGCCCGAGGAATTGCCGTGCCCAGTACTCCGTCCTCATGTTCCACATTCCCACGTTACCGAGCGCTATGTAAATTGCTGTCCAAGATTTGGGATAGACCTGAAACAAGAGACTGAGTTATTCACTTCAAAGTAAAAAATGATTCTTTTTTTTTTTTATAGCTATGTTGCTTAAAGTTTTGGATATAATCTGTGTGGTGCGGCGATAAATCGCATCCTGGAGATAGTATTCATTACGGCGTGCCGGTGTTTATCGTCCACCAGCCATTCTGCAAGTTCTATATTTATACCTTTGAACCCCGTGATATTGTCTGACCAAAAAAAAAAGCCTGTGATATTTACTTAAACATGACTAAGTACTTGAAATAAAGTATTCAAGACTCTTACGCAACAATCCAGAAAGCATAGCCATTGAGATACCAACTCTGGACAATATCCTCATGATTCTCAAAGACAACCTCAACAAAGGCTCTATAGTCCATGCCCATCACGGATGTATTAAGATACATTTTCCTAGCGGTCGGACTGTCCAAGATGCTTCCGACCCTGAAGATGGCGCCGATGTTGAAGTATTCAGCCACCTCGAGGGGCGTATCCGCAGGGACAAAAGACACACTATTAACTCCATATTTCTGCTTGCCATTGATCAGAGCAGCTGAGCACACCAGCTTGATGGTCCTGGTGATGCATATCAGTCCATAGTGGTAAGAGCCTTGTGGGTTCGGTCAGGGTCCGCTCGCCGTTAGATTAGCCCCAGAAAGATAACGTGAATTACGATGAGTCAAAGCAAAGTAAAGAACGAAAAAAGATTGCCAGAAACACTCAGGATTGAATTTGGGTGACATTATTTCCTAGATTTATCAATAGTAACAAGTGTTCTAAATATTTGTTGGAGTAACATGTTTATTATGATGTGCCTTAAAACACAAGTCACTACTTATACTAGTCCTTCCCATCAAGGATATTGCTGATGTAGGCCCCATGTAAGCACTGACATGGTGTTTGATTTGATACTTCATCATTAGATGCAATGCGAGCACTAGGTTGTGGCCGTGCCACCATCTTGTCGAAGGTTAAGGAGGAGTCTGCAGATATGATGCTTTTGATTGCAACAAATGATAGCCTAAAATTCTTCAAAATGTACGATCTTGTTTACTGATGTTAGCTGTGCTTGTTGTCCGAAAGAAAGTGCTGTGATAAGAATGTACCGTAGAGCTTATATAGCTCTCTCTTTTTTACGTCATGATTTCCCTTATTAATGTCATAAATGTGTTCAATAACTCGATTCGACTAAATCTTCATGTAATGTTTGGGTTTTCCTTCTAGTTCTAACTTGCACGCAGGCTCCACAGAGGACTATGCTATTTTGAGCTGCTCTTTTCTTATTGTTCGATAGATAGACCAGAAATCTTTTCGGAAGACGGCACAGCGAAAATACATTTCCCGGTGAAGCAAAGTATAAAATTCATGAAATTGATCGGCAGATTGTGTCTAGTACATGCATGAATGCGAGAAACAAAAATAATGGGCTGAACGGGGGATACAACTATAGTGATGAACGATATATCTTCATAATAGTGGGTGAATATGGGAAAAAAGTCTTGGAGAGTCCATGAAGATTGCATCGTTGGCTTGGCAATCAACAAGCACTAGCCAACTGAGAAAAGTTCATTGGAGTGACAAATCTCGGCCCACCAGTGTCGAGAGTTACACTGTTACAGCCGCCAACTTCGAAGCGGCATGTGTTGGGTGGTATAAATCCCAGAACAAGTACTCGTGGCGCTTCAAGCAAAGACGTGCTTTTGGGTCGCATATTCCTTCTGCATTTAATGTTCCTGATCCACAGCATGCACTTTTTACGTCCTTAAAGTCTGCAAAATCCAAAGAAAGGAAGATCAGCCTGTGACATTTCTTTTGAACCAATAGAATGACAGGTATAAGTCTCACATGGAGGTCGATATTCTAAATATAATTCGATCCAATAACCAGCTGAGACAATGTTATTATTCATGCAATGTTATTATTCCTGAAAAATATGCACAAAGGGTGGATAGACTTCATTCCACTATACTTCAGTAAATGTTTCATTGATTCAAGTAGTAATTTCTCGCCTAGCACAAAAGGGAAAAGAAAGGTAACAATCATTGACGCATGATTTTCAGAGCGAGTAACATACATGGAAGAGGGTTCACGATAACATCCATGGTCATGTCGTATGCATTCCCGAGTGAGTACTTCATGCTCTCATACTCTGAACTGAGTTTCTTCAACACGGCTCCGAGTTCTGAATGGAAAGCTAGCGCGAGTTCATTTAGGACCTCCAAACACTCCCCTGTACCACTGAGAACCCTCTGAGATGGACAACATCCTATAGGAGGCACGCTTATAATGCCAAACTTCCTTGCTCCGAAAGCCATTAGATTCTGCCACATCAACAGGAGATATCACTAATCAGGGCGACGTTGAGATATAGGCAATGTTCGCTATAAGGCTTTCAAGTTTGCACATGATGTGCTATTGTTTCAAAGTTGCTAAACCTAAAAGGGAGGGATACGAGTGTTCCAATGTATACAATTTTAGAAGAACCTAGAAAAGGAATGATTAATCAATTTCAGGAGAATCTAGAAGAACCAAGAGCAAGTAGAATTTGAAAAGGATTGCCACCTTCAAGTGATTTTCATAAGCAGATCCTAAAGTGGCAATAAACTCTTGCTTGGGTACTGTACTGTTTGAGTGATAGTAAAGCAAAATATCGTTGCTGCCAATGCTGATGAAGAAGAGAGACTTCGTAAGAAACTTATTGGTCTCGGTAGGACCCATAATCGCAGTGAGAACGTCGCGGATTGTTGAGAACTGCATTATCTGTTCTCCTAACGTGATCATGTTCCGTATCTTTTTATCCATTGTAACCTGGGGAAAATATTCAACAGATATGTGAGGCAGAGTGGAGAAACAAGAAGAGAAATAGTGGAAGGAGGATGAAAAACGGGCCTTACCCCCGTTGTGTCAAGAAGTCCTGAACCTCCTGAGGCGAAGTTTTGTGCCATTTAAACTGTGTGCCACTTCAGGGCCTTTGTGCTATTAAGAGAGAGGAAGGGCGGTGGACTCCTCATGTGCCCCAGTAGCTTCGCTGTTAAATGGAAAACAATCAGAAAATATTACTCAGAATTTACATGATACAACGCTGACATAAATTCACTAAGACGAGCATAAGCTGTTGGTATTAGGGACCAGTGTAGATTATGTGGTTCATTCGGACTCAGTAACGGAGAAAATGGAGCCCTTGTCAGTAGGGACCGGCAAAGAGAGAGATTTGATTCTCATAATGTACCGAGGAAATCGGCACTGTTGAGGCCATTGGAGAACCTTCCGGTGGCTCTTGAATGCGGGAAGTCAATTCCATTGTGAGGGAAGTTGGCTCTTGCATTACTGCTGGGCAAGAAACTGTTAGTCCTGACATCAGCAGTGGAGTTGCCTAATACAAATACTGCAGGCTTCTCTTCACTGGCCGAGCCACACTCCAGAGTTAGAAACACGGCGAAGCGTAACAGCACTGCAGAATTAGAAACACGGCGAAGAGTAAAAGTACTGCAGAACCACCTTTCTTTGCCATGATCAGTTAAACAAATCTTGAAGCCAATTTTTCTTTTTGAATTTCTACTCAAGAATGTACTACAAGTAATAAAATTAATAAAGAACCATGCAGAACTTGAAGATCTTCAACATTTATAAGCAAGTTATAAGCAAGAGATTTGGGGAATGATACGAGAAAGTGCCGGTAAGGTCGTTCTCAGCAGGGGCAAATCTTCTAAACACAACACATGTCAATGGGCGGATTCACCCAAATGCATGACTCGTGCCGGATCGAATGTAAATCAGTTAATGACCTTGCCACCCTTCGTCTCTTATGAATTGGTTTTACCGAGAAAGATGAGGAGCTCAGTGACAAGGAAGAAGTACTTCTAGCGCGTTAGTAGATGATTATATAAATGACTTTGTCATTGTCATTAATTAACAAGGGGCCTAATTTGTCTTTGGAGTTTGAGAGTTAGCTTTGTCTCAGTGAGACTCAGTCAATACCGCATATTTTTAAGTCTGGAGATCTGTTGCATAGTCAGTGGATTCGGCCATTGAGTTTCCGAGAGTCCAGCCAAAACCCAATAAGGAACTCATTATTTCTCCAGAGGATACAAGCAGCATTTATCAAGCAAGTATTCTTCACGAAGAAAATTCCAGATATAGCAGATCAAAGGACACTATGTAACATTCCTGAGTTCTCAGCATCTTCGAAAATACTGTTAAGGCCTCGGTCAGTTCTGTAATCAGGCTATCAAGTATCAAGAACGGCTTCTTCAGCCGCGCTAGTTCATTTCAACAATCAACATACATATCAATCTAATGTACACAAATCTTTCGGTCGCCGACAGTCCATGAATAGTCAAGTGAAGAAAAGAACGAATATCGAAACTGAAAGAACCACACACTTGTCTAGCTTATTGGTTAAGCAACAGGAATTAATCGTACAGTGCTTGTGAAACAGATTCAGTTTTTTGAGACAAAGAATTGAACCCCGAGTTAGGGTTGTTTCATGGTTACTTCTCATAGATATATATTCTTCATCCTCGTGCAGCATCCTGTTCATACAGGCCTCGTGCTTTTGCCACGAGCCCTGCCACAGAAAAGAGCGTTCTTTGGTATCGGGTACTCGTCCCTCAAGGACTTGGACGGTGTGTAGACTCGCAAATAGAATTGTTCCCCGAGGTATTGCCGCGCCCAGTACTCCGTCCTCATGTTCCACATTCCCACGTTATCGAGCGCTATGTAAATTGCTGTCCATGATTTGGGATAAACCTGCAACAAGAGATTGAGTCATTCACTTCAAAGTCGAAGTATCGTGATTCTTTCTTTTTATAGCTATGTTACTTGGAGTTCTGGATATAACCTGTGTGGTGCAGCGAGAAATCGCGTCCCGGAGATTGTATTCATTACGACGCGCCGGTGTCCATTGTCCACCATTCATTCTGCAAGTTCAATATTTGTACCTCTGATTCCTGTGATATTGCGTAAACATGACTAAGTACTTGAAATTAAGTATTCAAGACTCTTACCCAACAACCCAGAAAGCATAGCCATTGAGATGCCAACTCTGGACAATATCCTCATGATTCTCAAAGACAACCTCGACAAAGGCTCTATAGTCCACGCCCATCACCGATGTGTCGAGATACATTTTCCTGGCGGTCGGACCGTCCGGGATGCTTCCGACCGTGAAGACTCCACCGATGTTGAAGTAGTCAGCCAGCTTGAGGGGCGTATCGGCGGGGACAAAAGATACGCTGTTGACTCCATATCGCTGCTTGCCATTGATCAGACCAGCTGAGCTCACCAGCTTGATGGTCCTGGTGATGTTTATCAGTCCATAGTGGTAAGAGCCTTGCGGGTTTGGCCGCGGTCCGCTTGCCGTCAGATTAGTCCTAGAAAGATAACGTGAATTACGACGAGTCAAAGCAAAGTAAATGACGAAAAAAAGAATGCCAGAAACACTCGGATTGAATTTGGGTGAAATTATTTCCTAGATTTATCAATAGTAACAAGTGTTCTTAAATATTTGTTGGAATACCATGTTCATTAATTAGGATATGCCTTAAATCACGAGTCACTACTTATACTAGTCCTTCCCATCAAGGATAATGCTGACGTAGGCCCCGCGTAGTGCTGATGTGGCGTCCAATTCGATGCTTCATCATTAGATGCAATGCGAGCACTAGGTGGTGGCCGTGCCACCATCTCGTTGAAAAATTGATCAGATTTTCATATGATAAAGTGCCTCATTAGTGAAAAATTAACTTTCAGCACAATTAAAATCGAATGACCTAATTGCGAATGATAAAAAATAAAATGGACGTGGGGCATTTGTTTCTTTACCTAATGGTACGGGCCTGGTTGAGGGACCAGTCGATTTCGGTCGTAGGCCCACCAGGGACGGGCCCGGACACGGGGCGGCCTGAGTTGGCGTAGCGGAGGAGGGCGGGGGAGGTGAGGACCTTGCTCGTGAACCGTGTCGAGACGGCAATGTAGTAGTCCCGAGCCGGCTGGTCCGCAGTGACGAGGACGGAGTAGGACTGGCCGACGTGGACGTCCAGGGAGGAGTAGGTGGTCTGCATGGTGTGGGTGCCCTCCACCTCCACCAGCTTCATCTTGTGCCCTTGGATCCGGAAGTTCAGCGTGTTCTGGAGCCCCACGTTCGATATGCGCAGCCTATACGTCTTTCCTGCATTCATACACTAAAATTACATAGGCGAATTTCGTATACTACAATGTACATCACTACGAGTACATGATCATCATCGTACTTTCGTTGGTATAATGTTCTTTTTGATAATTTAATAAAATTAAATAGAAATTGATATCGCTTGGAACTTTGTAGAAGATTGAAGGGCATGATTAGTAATCATAGATGATTGTACCTTGCTCAACCGTGAAGGAAGAACCGTTGGGTCCACGACCATTGATGAGAATGCCGTCTGGGAAATAAAGCCTATGGCCACGGTCCAAAATGGCCTTCAAACTCTGGAACAAAAAAAAAATGGAAAACGAATTGCTAAATCAACAATTTTTCTCACTAATATCAATGTAAAAACACTAATTTTTTAATTAATTACCGTGTGATTAGCCTTGTACCAATCTCCGATGAGGACGGTGTAATCACCAGCGGGGTCGTCGAACGGGACGGGGATCATCGGCCTGCTGAGGATCCTGATGCCTCCGAAACCTCCGGCCGCCTTGTGGAAGGCCAGGGACGGGAAATAGAAGAAGCTGCCAATCTGGTCTTTTACTTGTAAGATGTAGGTGAAGTTCTTCCCCGGAGGGATCCGGCATGTGGTTCCTTGTACTCCATCCACGAACGAGTTCTTCCTCTGCTGGATTCCGTTCCTGTCGATATTCATTTTCACCGCGTTAAATTCGGTCGAATAAGTTGAAAGAATCGTGCGAATAATCAAACTCATGGCTAGCTTGTCACATCAATGCTTCATTTACCTCGTATAGGTCGAACTCTTGTCCTGTACTAGTAGCCCATCTACCTATTCCATGTACTGTTATGATTCAGGAATCTAGATCCATTCAAGACGCATTCGATATATCATCTCGTTAAGTTATATACATTATTAACTAGAGTACGAGGATGGGTCGTCTTTGTTCATATCTTGAAGTATACGCACAACACAGAAAAATGTACTGTTACATTGCTCATTTTGTCGTTCTAGTGTAGACGTTTGTCAAGTAAAACGGCCAAGATCTTAGTCAGCTGGAGAAAAATATGTGTTCACAATGTATTCAGACCGACCATCAGCTCGCGTTCGAATTCATGCTCACACAAAAGATCATCATCTCGTCATCGCACTAAGCCGGGAAAAAAAGAAAATGAAAGCTGATGAGCGATGGGATCAACATTCATCTTCTTGTCCATCTTTAATGGAAACCCAGATCCTACAAAGCGAATTCTTAGACTGAGTTTGACTCACCATGTCAAGAGAAAAGGCTCGGGCAAGCTGTTGTGCACGTTGATGATGAGATTGTTATTGGTGACCGAGTATATGTCGGGCCCTGGGAACTGCCCGTTTATCAGAATCCCCTGCAGCAGCACATCAAACGATAGTCATGGTTTGTTTCTCCCCCATGGACGTAAAAAAGAATTGCAAGAAAACCCTAGGCGAAGACGATATGTTGTCCAAGAACCTGTTGGCGAACGCCGAGAGGATAAATGTCGCCGTAGGTAACGTTCCAGTCGAAGAACCTGTAGGGATCCTCGGCAGTTACAGCACCCATGCCCAGCACGAGGAGGAAGACGGCAAGAACTTGCCATTTGTAATAACCCCCCGTTAACTTCATCCTTTACAGCAACCCAGCGATCCAAAGATGGGAACGGGCCGAAGACAAACTGTTCTATGCGCAAAGAACGACGACAGAGAATCAAGATTTAAGGAGGAGACTGTAGAGAGACGAAAGTGGTCACAGAACGAGACGACTTAACGTGGGCTTCTGCATTAGCAGCAGTAACGGAAGGAAGGACGCACTTACAAGTGCGGCACAACAGCAACAGACAAGAGGGAGCGAGGGGAATGTTATCAAGAATCAGGTAAACATCAAAGCGAAAGTAACCCTCGCTTTTAAACCTCTCCCAGGTGGGTCTTGTCTTTTATAATAAGTTGGCAACTGGAAGCAGACTCCAAGTCAAGAACCAACCAAACGCGTACCCTAACGCTCTTTCTTTCTCTCCAGAGCTTAGCTTAGCTTGCATGTAGCTGGACGCGAGCGAGCATGCCCGTGATTTCTGACGCGACGCACGGAATGCCCATGTGTTGCTTCTCGCTTTGTCTTTAACTTGTGAAACGGGGGGGGGGGGGGTGGATCGCCCGTTCGTCAACGGCCGTGATCGGCTCTCCCGGTGGGGCCCCGTGCCAGGTGTTCGACGGCCGTGACGGGGGAGGTAGTGGGGGAGGTGGCGGTGGTGACCGCGACGGCTCGAACCGGTCAAACATTAAACGCGGTCGTGCCTCTTTTTCAAGTCATGATCCAGAAGAGGAAGGCGCCAGCGATAAGGAAAGGAATCGATGTCGATGATTTCGACAAATGCGTGTTGTCTGAAACGCCGCCCTCTCGAAGGACAGCGTGTTCCGATGTCATTTTGTTAACTGATCAGTCGATTGATTAAGGCACTGATTTTGACCAAATTGAAAGATTAGATCAGATCGCGAGGTTGTCGTTTTCGTGGGAACGAGCCGAATCGGAAAGTTCCTGGGTCCTCTGCAAATTGCGCTTAGAGCACCCGCGTGAAAGGCGCTTCGGCTTTAATTTATCCTCCACTTGTCCCGTCGTGGAAGGCAAGCCGCTTTTCGAAAATTGAACAAAGGGACATAAGAAAAGAATTGAGGCATGTTTGGTAATTCTGTATACAATCATTCCGAAGAATATCATATCATTAAAGCACACCTAAGATTAATGTGAGGCAGAAAGGTGCCTCGTACACTAATAAATCTACAATATTATACTAGAACAGAAATTACTATTAGTGCATCCAATTCGTGTTAACTCTGAAATGGGTGCGATATCCGAACAAATGTGTTTCTACAAAAACGGGGGTGAGATATCTTTCACCGAAAAGTTGATTCTGGATCTTTATGGAGAATGCATCTGTGTTGATCTTGAACAGGAAATTGGGAGTAAATAGAAAAAAACGTACTTTGGAATTAATGGTACTAAAATAGTAAAGATGGGAAGGAGATGAGAAGATGATAATAAATTTCATTAATTCAAGTGTTTGGAAAGAAGATTCATTGTGGGCATTTCGCACAAATAGTTACCATTCTAAATACAATTACAGTTGCACATTTCCTGAGATTCTTGACATGCTTTTTGTATGTTGATAATCATTATCCAGACGAAATTACAACTTCTGAGGCCGCTAAGATACTCGACCGTCATCTCGGCACCTGATGCCTCCATCTACATCCTTGATCACCGCATTCTCCTTCTTCATATCCAGCACTCGGCAAAATTTACAGTAATTGATCGTTCCACAAGCTTTGTTGCTCGGCCAAGACATTCGTCGATTACCCCTCCTCGCTGTCGATGACTTTTCAGCATAGTTGTCGATTTTTATACTTCCCTCGAGCTCATCGATCCACAACAATATTTAACTAACTGATCAAGTCTCATTACTTGTCGATTATAAAGAGTTGGCTACTTTTAACTGTAAACAAAATGAAACGAAGAACTTCTCCGATTCTTTTCCTTTTCTATTCTAAAGACGATTCGAGGGCCTTGATGGTGCGATCTTTCTCAATCGTGTGAATTATGATGATCTATTGCCGAGGTCTTGATAACCCTCACCCTAGAGGTCTTCGTGTGCTCGAAATTTTTTAATCTTCAAGAACGTCTTGATATAAAACTACGCACTCTTCAATATCTACAAAATGAATAGAGGGGTCTACAAATCAAATTTTTGATCTTCAAGCTTCCTTTTTTTTAGTTTCATTTGCATAAACTTAGTCAGCTAGCTTAGAAGGAGCGTCAATTTCACGCAGAAAAGCCAAAATCTACGGTCTACATTCGTAACAATTCAAAAGTTCACATAATATGAAAACCAAACCAACTCCAGCTTCTAAAAAATAAGCTACTTCCTACATTAATGGTAAAGTAATTAAAAGAATTAATAACTTATGCAATGTGATTTCGTAGTTTAAAGTTGGAATCTAACCAAATTACAATCCCCTTTTTCCAAAAAAGTATTCTCGAATCGAACCGAACCACCAAAAATAGTTTGGTTTGATTTAACGGTTTGAACCGTTTTTTGCTCACCCCTACATGAAACGTTGACCTAGAAATATCGCACCAAATAAGGTCAGAGTCCGATCTCACGAAAATGCTTGAAAGGGATCGATCCGCTATTAATTATCACGAGCGAGAACCAAATTTTTTAGGAAATTTTGTTAAGATCCTTCTAGTTTCGTACAATATATCCAATGAGATTGACAAGCGAGTCGGATGGTCTGTGCGGTGGTCCTATGTCCATTTTATCCAATGTCGTTTTGGGCTTATTACCCATAAAAAAAAAAATGGAACCGATTCGGGCTTTTCAAGTCAATACGTCCGCTGGCATCATGCTTTCTGGACCATCGTTTCAGGGAAAGAGGAGTCAACGTCGAAGTCAAACGATCGCGCGGCCACAATTCACCGTCACAAACCACCACCGAAAAAGGCAAAAATAAAAATAAAAATAAAAATAATAATCACATGGCTAAGAATTCAGCAAAAATAATTACGTGCAATCTATTGGATTTTCTCGGATTGGATGGGGCTACCTTATCTTCAACCTGTGTTGACACCGCACATGACGTGGCGCTGCCTCCACTCCACTCTAATCCCACGCCCCTCGCCACCACCCGCCACCACCGCTCTCCGCCTCCCTCCTCCTCCTCCTCCATGGACGCTCTCTTCATCAACTCCTCTCTGTCTCGCCTCAAGCTCGCCCCTAAGCCATCCCTCCTTCCTCCTTTTTCTCACTCTCTCTCCCTGAAACCCACCGCCGGACCCAGCTTCGCCACCACCGTCGCCTTCGCCGTGCAAAACCAGGAGACCCAGAAGCCCCCCGCCTTCTTCCAAGACCAGAACGTCACCGGCGGCGACGAGGACGAGTCCTACGGCGAGGTCGACAAGATCATCGGCAGCCGCCGCGCCGTCGCGGACGGCGGGCCGGTCATGGAGTACCTGATCCAGTGGAAGGACGGCCACGACCCTTCGTGGGTCCCCTCCGCCGCCATCGCCGCCGACGTCGTCGCCGAGTACGAGTCCCCCTGGTGGACGGCCGCCAAGAAGGCGGACGAGTCCGCCCTCCGCGGCCTCCTCGAGGCCGACGGCGACTTCCGCGACGTCGACGCCGTGGACGCCGACGGCCGGACCGCCCTCCTCTTCGTGTCGGGCCTCGGCTCGGAGCCCTGCGTGCGGCTCCTCGCCGAGGCCGGCGCCGACCTCGACCTCCGCGACGGCAGCGGCGGACTGACCGCGCTCCACATGGCGGCCGGCTACGTGAGGCCCGGGGTGGTGAAGCTGCTGGTGGAGCTGGCCGCCGAGCCGGAGGCCGAGGACGACCGGGGCCGCACGCCGCTGGACCTGGCGCGGGAGGTCCTCAAGGCGACCCCGACGGTGCAGTTCGCGAGGCGGCTGGGGCTGGAAGGGGTGATCCGGGAGCTGGAGGGCGCGGTGTTCGAGTACGCGGAGGTGCAGGAGATCATGGAGAGGAGGGGGAAGGGGGAGAACGTGGAGTATCTGGTGAAGTGGAAGGACGGCGGGGAGAACGAGTGGGTGAACGCCAGGTTCGTGGCAGAGGACCTGGCGAGGGACTACGAGGCGGGGCTGGAGTACGCGGTGGCGGAGGCCGTGGTGGGGAAGCGCGCCGGGGACGACGGCGGGACGGAGTACCTGGTGAAGTGGGCGGACATGGAGGACGCCACGTGGGAGCCGGAGGAGAACGTGGACCCCGAGCTCGTGGCGGAGTTCGCGGCGGCCCAAGGAGGAGGGAATGGGAGTGGGCCCAGTTGAGGGGGAAGTTTGGGCCCAAATCGGATTTGGATTTGGGTCCGATTCTTTGTTCCTTTTTTTGGCATTTTGGAGTTTGATTTTGTGTCGTGCAGAAGACGAATGTTTCTCCCAACTCTGATTGAAAAGTTACTCGTCACGATGAAAAAGTCACTGAAACTTGAAACGCAGTCACTTGATGTATGAGCGTGAGATGGTCTCCCAATTCTAATCGGTACGTTCGAGGCTCAAAACCCGATTCGTCGCGATGTTCCGATCCATGCGCGCGACGCTCGATTGGTCTAATTTTATCGCCCGCACCCAGCTCATGAAATTAACGTCGTCCCAGCCTGAGTTACGACCCCACCATGACCCAAGGGAAGAGGAAAACAGAAGGCTATGATGGGCGAGTTCACGTGGACAAAACGTCTCAGTTCCCCTATTTATGAGGCACTTTCATTGACTCTTCTCGGCACGCATGCACTTTTCCACCTCTCATCGCGCCACCGGAATCGGAGGTTGCTACTTCGATTCTTGTCGCGGTTTGTTTGCTTTGACCAATGGTGCATCTAATATGCAGTTCAATAGAGCATTAAAAAGCTTGAAAATGATGCAAATAAAAAACAAGTGTAGTGGTTTGGGAGGTTCAAACTCGTCACTTGACCCTGATACCGTGATAAGTATTTGTTTAATTAGTAGATGAGAAATGTACATGTAAGGTTAAGATAGATATGGTACACAAGAAAAAAGAAAAGAAAGGTGGGACGGTATTAACACCTCCCTCTCGCGGGAATGATAATAAAAGAACATAGAGAATTGGATGCTGAGAAATAATGTAACAAAATTAAACTGTACAATAAGCACAAGCATGGATATTTCGACATGTATCTTGTATCATCTACAATATAAAAAATCGCAATTGATTATTTTCACGACTTGTTTTAATAATCAAGGGTATGGGTATGGAGGCTCGGTCATCAGGACATTCGTGGAATATCTCGTAAGTCCCATAAATAAGTTAAGTCTAGATCTTTTGTCTTTTGTAGATGACCTTGACTCGAAACAGTTTGCACACAATTAGTGAGATTCTATCGATTGACTTCCGGATACTAAGCCTAAATGCCTTCAATGTCTCGACCAACTAAAATTGTCGAAAGATGATACGACGTAAAATTTTCATATTCCAACTGATGAAAGCAAATCCTAGATATCGGACCAAAAAAGAAATCCTAGATAATTTTGAGAATTTTCAGTGTTCATAGGTGAGGTATTAAAAAATAATTTCATGAGGGTCCTATACATGGTTAGTTGGTTACTGCATTGCATTGGAAACTTCAAAGTTTCCTTAATTATCGTACAATGGCCCCTAGACACTCATTAAGAAATTTCTTTTCATAATAAACTTCGTAATTAAAACTAAGGCTACGTAGCCAACATAAAAGTCAAGATGGGATAAGGCCAGATATAAAAGGGATATAACTCGGATATCTCATGTGAGGCTGAGATAAAGATAGATATGATTTCTTATATTCATAGTAGAAAAAGTTATTTTTTCTGGAATAACAAATTTCTTAAGTTAATAAAGTTAAAATAATAGTGAAATATAAATATTATTTAGATCTTAATATAGAAAAATAAAATTCAAAATAACAAAACAACAACTAAAATGATCTTTCTTATTCTTGAAGAATGAGAGATAAAGAGATTTCTATGTGAACTCCGCCCTCTTATTCTCCTCCTTTGTAGTTCTGATTCACATTGAAACTCGACGACTCATTCGTAGCTATTTGGCTCAGTCGACACTCTAAGAAAACGATGAGAGAGTCAAAGTAGGGGTGAGCAACTTGGACCATCCAAACTGGGACCGGACTGGACCGATGGGTTCGGTTCGGTTCTCGGGACTATCGGTCCGGTTCCTGGTTCCTAAAAGCGGAATCGATTTTCGGACGGTCCGATTCCCGGTTCCAAGGGGGAACTGGACCGGACCAGACCGACTATTTAATATATATTTTTGTTATTTTTTTCTTTAAAAAAATTAATAAAATGTGAACTAAACTCTAAGTGAATTTCATTATCATAAATTCATTGATAAAAATTAGTAAAATGTGAATTAAACCCTAAGTGAACTTCATTGACATTCACAAACCTTAAGCGTTTAACCAAAAAAAAAAAAAACTAAACTCTAAGTGACCGATTCCATTGGAACGGACCGGCGGTCCAGTCCGGTTCCCGGTCTTAGAACCAACCGGTCCGGTCCGCGGTTCCCAAAATTGGGAACCGGTTCTCTTGGTTCTCGGTTCCACCTTGGAGCCGGACCGGACCGGGAACCGATCACCCCTAAGTCAAAGTCCCTTCTCCTTCACAGCTCTTTGGTTTAACGTCGAAATTTCACGAAAGCGATAAGAGAGCCAAAGTACTATATTTTTTGGAACCGTGAAGTGGATGATCGTGCATTCTCTCTCTTACCAGATTTGGCATTTGCCAGCTGATCTATCTCATTGATGTCGTTGTAGCTTGTTTACATTTATTATCATGGTCGAACTTGTGGCTCTAGAATGCTGCAATTTAGTGGTTTCTTTAGTAGAGAATTAAAGAGATTCTTAGTATAGGCGGACACACCCTTCTCTCGTACGATGAAATTGGAAAGACATCCATAGGAAATGCGTAACCCGTGTTTGGGGGGGAACATGTTTCTGACTTTAACAAAAGTTATCGATGAAACTAACGACTAACAAGAGACCAGGGTCAACTCGTTTCAATAAATCTATGATCTCTTTACAGTAAACGAAATTGTCATAATTCAATATTCAGTGCCCTTAATTTCTCGAAATCACATTTTCGCCCCACCCAATTATTTCCCATTTCTCCCTCGCCACGGCGACCAGTCAGTGTCACTTCCTCTCTTGAAATCACCCCTCCCTCCAAAAAAAAAAAAAAAAAGGACCAAATCCATCACCTTCTTCAGCGATTCTCTCTCGCTTCGCACTCGCAGACCCGCCCCCCGAAAACCCCTTCTCCTCCCTCCCTCCCTCTCCGGCTCCGCCCGCCGCGCCGCCCGCCATGCCTCTCGCAATCCACGCCAAGTCGGACTCGGAGGTGACGAGCATCGACGCCGCCTCGTCGCCGCCGCGGTCCCCGCGCCGGCCCCTCTACTACGTCCAGAGCCCCTCCAACCACGACGCCGAGAAGATGTCCTACGGGTCCAGCCCCGCGGGGTCCCCGTCCCACCCCTACTACCACTGCTCCCCCATCCACCACTCCCGCGAGTCCTCCACCTCCCGCTTCTCCGCCTCCCTCAAGAACGCCAACCCCCGCCACCTCTACGGCGGCGCGTGGCGGAAGCTCCACCGCGGCCAGGGGACCGACGACGACGACGGGGACGCGGACGAGGAGGATCAGGAGGGCGGCCGGGGCTCCTCCTCCCCCGCATGGCGCGGCGCGAGGCTCTACGCCTGCATCGTCCTGCTGTTCTTCTTGCTCTTCACGGCGTTCTCGCTGATTCTGTGGGGCGCCAGCAAGAGTTACAGGCCCGAGATCCTCGTCAAGGTAAATGCATAGCGTTGCGTTTTGAGTTCTGCGTAGAGTTTTTGGGGTGCGGGGGACTGAGTGAGTCGGCGGATCGGTGGCTGACTCGGCGGGTCGACTCGCTCTGCCGGGCTCGGGCTCGGGCTCGGGGCTAGGCATTGACGCGGAGGAGGATAGCGAAATATTCTTTCCGTTTTTGATCGCATTGATGAATCGTCTTTAACTCGCTGTTTATTGCAAACGAGGAAAGTTACTGCCGCTTTTGGCCCCCAAAAGCAGTATGAACCGATTTTTATTTTCCTTTACAAGTTTTTGGATTAAAATTTCCCATAAAAATATTTTTTTCCAAAAATTTTGCTAAGAAGTGCCTCCGGATAAAATTTGGATTTTTTCAAGATGTTTGATTACATTTTACGTCGATTTTCTTAAACGAGAATTATATATATATTTTTATGTCGATTGGATGATGTGGGGGCAGAACGTGGTGTTCGAGAGCTTCAACGTGCAGGCGGGGATCGACCCGAGCGGGGTGACCACAGACATGCTGACGCTGAATTCGACGGTCAGGATCGTGTACCGGAACCCCGCGACATTCTTCGGCGTCCACGTCACCTCCTCCCCGCTCGACCTCCACTACTTCCAGCTCCACGTCGCCTCCGGACAGGTAAGCAAACCCCGAATCTCTCCGTCTCTCGTAGAATGTGGTGTCCGTCTCAAGGGTAGCATGGTCAATTCTTTCGGTCGCAAGGGTAGCGCGGTCGTTTCACCCCTGTCGTCCCTCGTGTCGCGCGACATTAGGAAATCGAAAAAGTGTCTTAGGGCCGGAAACGAGGGGTCGTTTCTTGACTTGTTGGTATCAGTATCAGTGGGTCGTACGAAAAAAAGCTGCAAATTTCGGACCAATCATGTCATTTTTAAATTCGTCGAAAGGAGAAAATTTCGAAAATTGGGAAAACCGAAAAGCATGGGGTCTCTGGTCTCTCTACCCTCTGTGCTGTCCTGCACTTTCTGCAGCTATATTCAATACGAAGCGCCTGAGCTAGCCGTTGGATTCCTTTGAGCGGCTTTGCTTTTTGCTTCGTGCGCCACCGTTGGTTGATCCGGTTGATTTGTTATCGGTTGGCTTATCCAATGAGCCACCCCTTTTTTTGGTTGGTCCAGCGGTTTAGAAATGACCGTCAGCCAGGGTCGGGTCGGGGCGGGCCAAATATGGATTGTAAAACCTTTGCTCCGGTCTGCTCATTTACCTCTTGGGTCTGGCGGGTCACTCGCATCGACCCGCCAGTCGAATTACCTCTAGGGGGGACCCTCGGGTCGGACGGTCTATAATTGGGACCTGCTTTACGACTTCGTAGCCCCTTTTTCTGGGCCTGCCCGGTTGTTCTTGGGCCCATTTGGCTTGGGTTGGCCTGTGGGCGGGCAAGCCCTTGGTCGGGTCTAGATGCCGTACAGACATGACTGCATGGTGCTAGTATAAAAAAATGTTCTCGTTCTTTAGACAATGGAGAGAAGGGGTCTCGAGCAAAACGATAAGTAGTCGTTTGTTTTAAAAAGTTCAATTGGTAGACTTTAGATAGAATGACAAGGTTTACATTTTTTCATCTCAACTAAGTAGGTTTGTGCAAATGTAGTTGCTTCTTGCTTCCCCTTAATTGAATGCCAAGACATGTGCGCTTTCATGGTTTTTTTTAACAAGGCATTAGTATCATCTACTTCTTCATTTTCTATGCGCACAATGCCATTACATGCACATTTCAGACTTGCAAAATGATAGGTGTGACAATGCTCATATACCTTACGAAGTGATTGATTATTTTTTTTCTTGTGAAACTAGGCAACGTCATTTTCAGTTTGGCTTAGCCAATATATGTGATAATATTATAAAACTTAAAGCACCTTATTAATGCGGTTGAGTCGGCGAGGTTAATAAGATATTCAAGTTCTCTTGCATCCCATCATTCAATCACCTATACGAGTATGGGTTGCAAATTCTGTAGTGGCAATTTGATTACATAAGGCATCTTCTTCCTTTGCACGTCGTCTATATGAAACTCATGTAAGAATCTGAATGCTTTGAGCTGTGAGAGGGACAAGAAGTCAGCGAGCTTTCGTTTCTTTCCATTTCCCTATTTACACCATTATGGTTATGCGAGCTTTTACGTGGTCTTGATTTATCTGCAATAAATGTGAAAAAACTATAGATGAAGAAGTTCTATCAGTCAAGGAAGAGCCAGCGCCCAGTGGTGACGGTGGTGACAGGGTATCAGGTTCCCCTTTATGGCGGGATCTCAGCCCTCAGCATGGCCAGAGAGCACCGTGAGAAAGTAGCCGTGCCATTGAACCTGACATTCGTGATGAGGTCGAGGGCATATATCTTGGGGAAGTTGGTGAAGTCCACGTTTTATAGGAGAATCAGATGTTCTGTCACCTTAAGAGGCAACCAACTTGGCAAGCGTCAGAAATTGACTGATTTTTGTACCTATCACTGATGATTTGTATCAATCACCGAAATATACAGTCCTACGTTCACAAGCAAATGAGCAACAGATTTTGCCTCTTCAGCACAAAAAGGGAAAGTTTAATGCGTTGTAGAGTTTACGTGGTCATTCTAAAAGTACAATATCGATTGCAGTTCTTATATTTGATGTTCTTACCACATGTTTTTGGGACAAATTGTAGCAAACAAGCTCAATGTATCTTGCCAGCCAGCTATTGCGCTTCAAATGATTCTTGCTGTGAGTATGAGCTATGCTGTCTGCTAGTGCGAGATATGTTTTCTTCTTTGTTGTCTCTCATACATGGATAGGATTTTCGTGAACACTTTTTCATGCTTTGTGTTGATAGCACATACCTGCGCAAACGGGAGCTTTATCAAAGCTTTCTGATGTTCTCCAATTCCTTGGTTTAGAATGAGAACACTTGGGGGTAGACCCAAAAAACACGATGGCTAAGTTATAGAAATTACTTTGAAGTCCCATTTCAAACAGTCTTGCAAGTAGGAAATATGGACAACAGCTAACAGCATACGGCAAGAATATTGCTTAGAAGTTAGAACACCCAACGCATACTAGCAAGTAGATAGATTATTGTCAGTCGTCCTTCTTAGCATCGTCTCCGACCTTGTGACAACCGGGGATCTTCTCCTTGATCTTTTCCAGGACCCCTTTCTTCTCCAGAGCGCACTCGAGTGCGTCTTCTTCATCTTTCCTATGACCCGGGAGTTTCTCTTTTATTTTCTCCAAAATGCTCTTCTTTTCCTCCGGATGCATTGCTTCATCAGGTTTTTCGACTGGAATAGACTCTTTTTCAAGCTCCCCACCTGCTTCTAATTCGTCATCTGTTATCTTGTGCTCGAGCTCTTCCTTAGCTGCCTCCTTATTCTTTTTCTTCTCGCGCCCTTCTTCTTCTTCATCATCGGACTTCAAAGTTTTGAGAACAAGCGAGCGTAATGAGTCATTTGCATATGGATGGCTGAAACTTTCTCACTTCATGTTTTCTTTCCCGATCACTAAGCATTTGACCATGCATGAAAGATAACTAGGTTTCTTTTCGTTTTTTTTTTTCTGGGAAGTAAATTAACTAGTTTTCATCCTTTCATATTCTTGACATCATATACTGCTTGCGAAATAACTGGAAATTATTATGATCTTACCGAGCTTGAGTTGCTGTGGGAACGTCGTAGTTCCTTGGCAAGAGTCATCTTTTCTTCATCCCTAACCAGAGGCGTCATTTCTGCATCCACTACGGTATCGCTCATCTCATGCTGTGTTTTCTCTACAGAAACATTTGTGGCGTTGCCATTTTCGGGGGCTTGAGGTTGATGATGACTCATTGTGTAGCTTTTGCCAATGAAGCACAAGGAAAGCTTTTGAACTATGTTGTAGTGAGTAGCGATGAGCCTCTTCTCTGAACTGGTATTTATAGAAGAAGCCAGTGCACATGCCATTAGTTCGTACTGCTAACTGAAATGTCTCTAAAACTGAAATGCCTAACACCCACAGGAAAAGTTGTTAGGCATTTCAGTTTTACATCATGAGTTAATTTTAGCAGATGGCAATTATTCTCATCTGGTCCAAAAAATAAAAAGATTTACCTCGTACACGTTGTACTAGATCAAGTCAATCATCATACTATAAAAACTAACCACTTGAGACTACGTTAAATCTCGCCATAAAGAACATGATTTTCACATGCGTATGCATTGTGGTTGATTTCAACTTCATGTCATGATAGAACAAGTATATATTTCTTTGAAGGAAACATCTTGTGGGTGAAATAATTTGCCTATGGATTGAAGATACTCATTGGGTGACAAATTGGAGGTCTCAGCCTCATTCATTGGAGTTGGGGCTTGGACATGTCAGACCAAATTAGAGCTTAAGCCGTCTGTCTTTTGGTGACTTGAAAAATGGGAAAGATTCCGAAACAGTTCAGGGTTTTTGCATTGGACATGCATTGAGAAGAGGGAACTGTGTCTGTGTGACAAACATTGAAAGAAGGGCGTGTTGTGTTATGGGTGAGCGTGAGTGTGCTCGTTAGAAGAAAACTAAACAATGGTCGGTTTGGACGGTTGTTTCTTGCACTGATCAAGAGGTAAAGTTGCTGTAGTTTCGAGATCAGCAAATTGTAACATAGTTGGGTTCAGTAATGCAGAGTGTTATGGTCCAACTACGCCATTACTACCAATAACTAATGCCAAGAATCCAAGGTAAAGTTATTGCTGTTTTTATTATCTTATTTTTAAGACAAAGGAAGCATATGACCTAATGCAGATTGGAGTTAAACATATGTATTCATTAGACTCTGTTGGAATACAGATTAGGAACTGCAATTTTTGCTGCAATTTTCTCATTATATACATTCTAAGGCCTCAAAAGAAGAAAAGAGTAAAGTACACAAAGCATCAATGGCTACAGACTAGCAATTGTTGCACGGTCTGACGGTGCTGGAGAGAGTAAGATGATGAGCATGTATTGGTTGCAATAGACAGGATGAGAGCTTTCTCGATGTCTGCATTAGTATGCCGCTGGATCATTGAAACTATATAATCCATGAATGCAGCCTCACATGGCAAAGTGATGGGTCCGTCCCTCGGCAGTCCGAACTCTTCCTTGGATAATCTGAACAGCTCCTGAATGATGCAATTGTTCAAGAACCGTATCGGAAACACGAACCGCTTTTGGTCGACCGTGTAGACAGCACAGTGGCCTCTATCAGCGAGCTGCAGTTCCTCGTGTCCACCAACTTTCGGAAATGGGATTCTCTTCCTACTCATGGCAGCTACTCTCCGCCATTTTCTTGCAATCTTGAGCAGTTTCTTTGTGCTGATCATTTTCTCTGTGCTGGAATGAGGAAGAAGAAATGCGAAATCGTTCTTCTAGTCTGAGAGCTTTGAAATGCCAAAGTTGTGGTGAGTTGAGGATAATGGACTATGGAAGTCCGTTAAATAAGGGTGCATCACAAGACACTGCATTAATGTGAGCCACCTGGTGATGGTGCAGAGCCATGTGATTTGGGTATGGTAGGGAATGTTAAGGGTGGTGGCAATGTCTGTTTCGGATAAGCCGTCAATTTGTCTTCCAGCAAGTATATTTCTGTGGCTCGGGATGATCGTAGCACCATGTATTGCAACCAAATAAGAACGACAAAATGACGAAATTAAGAGTGCGTTTGGCAACCATTCTATGCCCGGAAACTGATTTTGCTAAAAAATGATTCCTTTTGATTCCGTGCTTGGGAATAATTTGTAATAATTTGAAGGCGTTTGGTAACTGGTCAAGATTTCTTTTTATAAATAATCTTTTAATAATATTTTCAATTTTTTAATATGTCTTTTTTTATATTTTCCTTTTATATTTTTCTTCTTCTTCCCCTTCTTGGCCCTCTCGCCGCCGCAACCCATCTCCCTTGCTTGGGTTGCGACGGCGAGGTCGGCCTCACCATGGCTGGGCGAGGCCACGCCATCGCGGCCGCGAGCCGCCCTCGCCCAGGCGGTGAGAGTTCAGCCCTTGCCCTCACCGGCCCTGGCCTATGGCCAGTCGCTGGTGGCCGGCTAGGAAGAAGAAGAAGAACAAACCAAGAAGGAAGAAAAAAAGCAAGAAGAATCAGAAATGGAAAAATTGTTCCCAAAATTAAGAAGCTATTTTTTTTTGCTTGGATTCTTTCAAAATTGATTCGGGAACAAATTTTGCAAATTTGTGCTCGGGAACAAAAAAATTTACTAAACGGATTTCTGTTCCAAAACTGATTTTGGGAACAAAAGAACATAAATTATCACTGTTTGGCAGCTTGCCAAACGGACCCTAAGTGAACAGATTCCCATTATTCACATGAAGTGTCCCTTGCTGGGAAAGACAGTTTAATGGTTTGAGAGTGAATGGAATTGGCAGTTTAGGGCATGTGCAAGACATTACTGCTGGACCCAGGATGTCTTGAAGCTTACACCAAACAATAATGTCATTACACTTACTTGTCCCCTTGATGAATGGTTTCTTTCTTCCTTTCGTTTTTTTCTCAATGTGCCTAACACCTTTTCCTGTGGGGATCGGTTCAATTACATTAGTTCGTACTGCTAACTGATATGTCTTCCTCCAACCCTACAGAAAGGTGTGAAGACGTGCATATCACTATCTAGGTGCTTGAAATTTATGAATTTTCTGGATCAAGCAGAATTGCTTGCCAATGTGACCAGGAGTTTCTGATATATTGTTCAATGTGTCTTTCAACATTGATAATACAAGAACCAGCAGGAATCGATTGCGTACTGCTTTCCTGTGACCTTGAGCAATTTGTGGTTGATCTTGTGATTCGTTACGAGAGAATGCGGTTAATCAAGAGGGCATCTTAGGGCGCGTATGGAATCCATTCTGGAGCAGAAATTCTGCTCCAGAATGCATTCCGGAACAGAAATGCGTTTGTTAAAATAATTTTGGAATGCGTTAAACAATTTTGCATTTTGGAATAAAAACGCGTTTGGTAAAACTTCATTCTTTTTTTGCTCTAGAATGAATTTTGCTTAGAATGAGTTTTGGCCCAAAGAGAAGCTACTTTTTGTAGCTTCTCTCTTCCAGAATGCATTCTTGCCCAAATTTCCTTTTTTACAAGAAATAAAAAATTTCAAAAAATGAAAAAATTTCACAAAATGGCTTAGAATACCTGTGGCCATCCACTTTGAGTGAAATTTAAATTTTTTGAGGTGCCCAAAAAAATAAAAAAATCAAAAACTTCAAAACTTCACATAATAGCTTAGGATACTGTGCGCCATCCACTTTGAGTGAAATTTAAATTTTTGAGGTGCTTAAAAAATCAAAAATTTCAAAACTTCACAAAATGGCTTAAAATACCGCATGTGGCCACCTACTTTGAGTGAAATTTAAATTTTTTGAGGTGCCCAAAAAAAAGAAAAATAATAAAAAAATAAAAATTTTCAAAACTTCACAAAATGGCTTAAAATACCTGTGGCACCCACTTTGAAATGAAATTTAAATTTTTTGAGGTGCCCAAAAAAAATAAAAAATTTCAAAACTTCACAGAATGGCTTAGAATATCTGTAGGCTGCGAATGATAACCATTCTGTTTCTCTATTTCTGTTCCAGAAATAGGTTTGGAACAGAAATCCGTTTGGTAACGTAATTTTAATTTCTATTTCTGGAATAAATTTTTGTTCCAGAAATAGATTTGAAAGAGAAATCAGAAGTTAAAATTTTTAGCTTCTCTATTTCTGAAACAGAAATGAGAAACAAAATTTTTTGTTCTTCTCATCACTTTCCCTCACTACTAGTCGGTCGCTCACCCGCCGCCCATTGCCGGCCGCCGCCACCCGCCGACTGCCGCTACCCTTCACTGGTCGCTGCCGCCGGCCATCGTCTCCTGCCACCGGCTACCTCCCACCACCGCTAGCTGCCGACCACCGGCCACCTCCCGCCACCATCGGCCACTAGCCGCCTCCCGCCGGCCAAAAAAAAAATTCCAAAAAATCCTTAAAAATTGAAAAATTCCAGAAAAATTCATAAAAATTTCTAGAAAATAAAAAAAAGTCAGATTTCGGGAAAATAGGAAATTTATTCATTTTTTCCAAAAAAATAAAAAATTTCAAAACTTCATAGAATGGCTTAGAATACTTTGTAGCACTCGCTTTAAATGAAATTTAAATTTTTGAAGTGCTTAAAAAAATAAAAATAAAATCAAAATTTCAAAACTTTACATAATGGCTTAGAATATATGTGGCCACCCACTTTGTGTGAAATTTAAATTTTTTGAGGTGCCCAAAAAAATCCAAAATCAAAAATTTCAAAACTTCACAGAATGACTTAGAATATCTCGGCCACCCACTTTGCGTAAAATTTAAATATTTTGAGGTGCTAAAAAAATTTAAAAATAAAAAATTTCAAAACTTCACGAATGGCTTAGAATACTGCATGGCCACCCACTTGCGTAAAATTTTAATTTTTTGAGGTGCCCAAAAAAAAACCAAAAACTTTAAAACTTCACAGAATAACTTAGAATACTTGTGGCCACCCATTTTTAAGTGAAATTTAAATTTTTTAGGTGCCAAAAAAATTAAAAAATTAAAAAATTAAAAAAATTTAAATTTCACTCAAAGTGGGTGGCATGTATTCTAAGCCATTCTGTGAAGTTTTGAAATTTTTTATTTTTTGATTTTTTTGGGCACTTCAAAAATTTAAATTTCACTCAATGGTGTCAGTATGCATTCTAAGTCATTCTCTGAAGTTTTGAAATTTTTGATTTTTTTGGAAAAAATGAACAAATTTCCTATTTTCCCGAAATCGACTTTTTTATTTTCCGGAAAATTTTATGGATTTTCTGAATTTTTTAGATTTTTAGGAATTTTCCAGATTTTCTATTTTTTTATTCTATTTCTAAAAGAAATGAAGCGATTGTCGCGCCGCCGTCCACTCGCCGGCCACATGAGAAGGAGAAATTTTGTGCGTTATCAAACAAATTTCGTTTCGAAATAAATTTTTGTCGTTATCAAACATGTTTTTAGCTTAGAAACTCCTCCGGAAACAGAAATAAAAATCAATTTACGGTCGAAATTAATTTCGAAACAGAATGGTTATCATTCATTGAGTTCTTGACCCACTTTGAGTAAAATTTAAATTTTTTGAGGTGCCCAAAAAAAAAAAAAAATAAAAAATTCAAAACTTCACAAAATGGCTTAGAATACCCGGCCACCTACTTTGAGTGAAATTTAAAATTTTTAGGTGCCAAAAAAAATTAAAATAAATCAAAAATTTCAAAACTTTATAGAATGGCTTATAATACATGTGGCCACCCACTTTGAGTAAAATTTAAATTTTTTTAGGTGCAAAAAAATCAACAAATCAAAATAGATTGCTCAGTAAATCAATTTCTGAAAGTAGCACTAGTCATGCTTACCAAACAGATTTCTCCTCCGTAAATCAATTTCTAAGAAGACCTGTAAATCAATTTCCTATAGCACTGATTTGTTAGAATCTCTACAGAATTCGCTACCCAGCTGATCTGGACCCACTTTGTAGTTGAACTCTCCGGCAAAATAGTAAGAGAATCTTTCTCTGCAGTTATACAATCATGTGCTCATGAGCCCCATAGAACCAAAAATCGAAGATTTCTCAACATCACCACATGGGTTTTCTCCCATTGGAAAGATGCATTGAATGCCAATTTGTTGGCTCTCCCAGTATATAACGCGGGAAAGCCGGTGCTTTCTCCAAAACCAGAAACAGCACTCCAATCCACAGCAAAAAGCAAGTTTGCTCATCTGTTGAGAATTTCTTTGAGATGAACAAAATGATAAGCACCAAGAAGCTGATTCAAATGGCAAGGAAATGGCAGAAGATTGCCGCAATGGGAAGAAAAAGAATTGCGTTTCAGAGGACGAACAGCAAATCTAGTTCAGCAGATGCAAACAGATCATCGGCTGCTCAAAAGGGTCGTTTCGTTGTCTATACAACGGATGAGAGACGCTTTGCGATCCCTCTCTCATATCTCAGCAACAACATGGTAAAAGAGCTCTTCAGGGTATCAGAAGAAGAGTTCAGTCTTCCGAGGGATGGTCCGATCACACTTCCCATTGATGCTCTATCCATGGAGTACATAATTTCGTTAATTAGCAGAGGCTTGGCTAAGGACCAAGAGAATGCTCTGCTTACGTCCTTGACCAGAGGAAGCTGCTCATCATCCTCAGCTTTCAATCAAGCATTAGAGAGCCCACAAATTCTTGTTTGTAGCTGACAGATGTAAAAATACCAGTATTTTGTAGATATGAAATTGGTTTTGCCACAGTATATGCATTGTTCTAACTCGTTTCTCTTTGGCTAAGATCATCCTAGCGTTTTGTGATGGCTGGTTTTGACGCGGATCATTATATCTCGCATAACAGATCCACTATAACCAAAAAGTAATATGTAAGCCTGCTAAGTATACG